GCCCATATCTGTAAAGCGAAATGGAATCCAGGGAAATTGAACCTTGGTTTCTTGCTTGTATTCATAATACAACAGCATTTCCGAACATTCTCTACAAGATCTTTCCACACATCTTCTCCCCATGGATACTCATTAAACTTGGATAAATCATCGACCAAGTGGAGATACAGTCCAGGGAGTTTAATACTTGGCTGGTTACCAATTATACAGGTCCCTAACATGTATAGGAGTCCCAACTTCACTGCATCTAAAGCTTCTCTATTTTTATTTTTCTTGACTCTCTCAAATTCAATCTTCACATCCTCTCTTGTCACATTCATTTGACCATTGAAATATCTTTTACTTATGTCACTTGGTTCTGTATAATTCTCCATTTTTTCACTGCTCCTCACAAACCTAAAACCACTCACCTCTTGGAAGTCTTTCTTTGTGAATTTGATTAGTCTGCTACAAATGGAAAATGATATTTCTTCAGAGGCGTGCAGTCTGTCCATCGGCTCCACATGGTTGAGTGTGAGAAGAATCATAAGTTGGCCATTAACACATTTCAATTCTCCAATGTCAACCAATATCCAAAGGCAGTCTTTCGAAATTCACTTAGTTCGTCTTTTGAAAGCATTTCTTTCAACTTCTTAACCCCATTACCAACATTGCAGTATGAATTGATTTTAGCTTCAGTTTTTGTATCCAGTAGGTTCGGCTTACATAGGCGTTTATAGACCTGTCACATTAAACAAAATTCTGTTCACTTCATTTCCAAAACACAATACAAATTGCATTAGAAAGTATTTTACGTTTTCATTCAAATGCCTTAGAGGACATTAATACACCAATTTCAATGCACAGTAACATCCGCTTGACTTTATGCTCCTCTTAAGCAATCAAAATTTTATGGCCCAATCAAAAATGTCATTATATTCATTTTAAGACTTAACAGGACATTCATTAACTAACCAAAGACACTGTCTCATCATCCACAAATATCATTATATTCATTCAAATGCCTAACAGGCATTAATACGCCAACGGAACACATAGTCTCATATTTTGTATTAATCCAGGTAGACATTATCAGACATTATTCTTATTAATAGACATTAGTAGACAGTAATACGCTAACAGAACACATATTCTCATAATTTGTAATAATTCAGGTAGACATTATTAGACATTATCAGACTTTTCCTATTACACACAACCACAATTGAATTGTTCAAAGCACAAATTCATCTGCTGGATTTATGATTCTCTCAAGCCTTCAAAACTTATATCTCAATGAAAAAACTGTAATAATTAGACATTAATAAAACCGAGTAGACAGTAATTAGGCCAAGTAGACATTAATAGACGACATTGTAGACATGCATGCCTTCAATCAATCTCATAAAGTTCAATTCATGTTCATCAATTTGAAATGGTAAAATTCAGAGCTTACGAGTCCGTTAGGCATTGTCAGAAGCATATCATCGGATTCCCTCGTCACAAAATCGCTGTCTTCGCTTTCACCTTTCTTCTTAGACGCCATTGTTACCTTCATGGAAGCCATTGGTATCGCTTTCCTAGATTCGCTCTCTCTCTCTCTCTATTTTCGCTCATTTAGATTTGCATCGAGAGAAGGTGAGCCTGGATTGTTTAATGCCCTGATTTCTTCTCGTTTTCCTAGATTTCTTCTCGCTCGAGTAAATGTCTCTCGATTTTCGGAAATTGCGGCTTACGCGTTTCTCCAAATCCAACGGTCAGGGTTATTTTAGTCATTCTAGTCATTAAAAAAAGGTTTCCAGTAGTACTGGTCCTACTTTTGGAAATTAGCATTGTTTTAGTACCATATTTGGAATTTTGTGTAAATTGTTCTTGGACTTCGAGGCTGTTCGTGCGCAAATATATTACTCCCTCCCCCTCAAAATATTTGTCACAAATATTTCTCCTCCGCCGGCGTCCACAGAACCGCGGGTCCAATTGCCCTGCAGGTCTTCGTGCTTCCATCTTCACAATCCGCCAGTCTCCTGTTCCCTTCCCCTCTTCTACGGCCTGCGGACGGTGCTTTCAACTTCCTGGTAATGGTTTTTTCTCTCTCTATTTTCTAGGTTACTCCCAATTGTTTAGCCTTTATTAGCTTGTTTATTACTTTAGCCTTTACTTATTTTTTTTAACTTTTAGGTTCAATTTGAAAGAGAAATTCAGTATTTGATTCGATTTCGAAGATCCCTAACACTTCCCAGATTCCAGGTTTTTTTTCCAATCCTTGAGTTTATTGTTTTGTCATTTTAGGCCAAGAATATACGGAGTAATTTCTAAGCAAGGCCTCTGAATTATCTCGGAGGACCCTAGATAGAAGCTTGAACTAGTGACCTTTAGATTAACAAGGTTTCGATACCTTGCAGGCCTAGTACATATGGAGTATATGCATTCTAACATAGACAATGAAAACCAAACAAATATAGAGAAATCAGGCGAGCACTAGACCGATCGAATACTTATTACACGAGCACAAATCGCAGTACATGCCACACCCCTTTCCGAGGAAGGAGATGTGCATTATTATCATTATTTGAAACATGACCAGAAAAAAAAGCGGAGAATGGAAGGCAAATAATAAAGCATAAGAAAAGTAAAGTAAATGAAGATAAAGAGATATTGCTCAGGCAATAAGTCCTCTCGATTAATTGGCTGGAGATTTAAGGAGGAACTTTTGGAACCAGTAAGCAGACTTCTTGTGGTATCTTTTGAGAGTGGTGTAGTCCACATATGTCATCCCGAACCGAACCGTGAGCCCTGCATCCCATTCGTAGGAATCCAGATATGACCATACAAAATGCCCCTTCACGTTCGCCCCCTCCCTGCAAATCATTCGTTACGTTAATTTAATTTACGCTGCATCTTGAGTTCTACAAAACAATAGGTGACAAGGCGACAGTCTTATTTTAGAATGTATAAAAGGATGGTACATACTTGACGGCTTTTTGTAAGAACCAGAGGTGGCCCTCGAAGTACTTGATCCTCACATCGTCTTTGAGGGCTTCCACAGTTTTTTGTTATTGGCCTCGGCCATACCTGCACAATGTACGGAGTATAATATTTTTGTTCAATCGTACATATCAAAGGTCTAGTCGTATTTTTGAATTAATAGAAACACAAGCGCCCTGAAAAGCTAGAAAAACCATTGCGTTTAACAGCCTCGTTTGGGAATAGTGTTTTCAAGTAGCATTTTGAATATGTTTTTAGATAGTCTTTTCGAAATGCTGTAGTTGTTGCCAAACTAGCATAACATAGGGAAAACGTAAAGGCTTTTTTCATACCATTTTCGGTGATGTAAATGGGTGGGTCCGTAGGTTGTTGTATTTTTGTTTGATGTAGAGCATCAGCATTCAGATTCCTTTACGGAGGGGTTGGGGTGGGGGTGCACGGGCGGGGTAGGGTGGGGGTTACAATCACATAGATGATGGAGAAGCTAGCAATGGTCCAGTACCGACCGAGGTAGGCGTCGGCGAGAAAAGCGCCGAGGAGGGGCATGACATAGCAAGTTCCAGACCAATGGGAGAGGTTTTTGGAAGCGCTAATGTTGGACAGATTCAGTCGGGTCTGGAAGTAAATCATGAGAATGGATATACGGAGTAATTATCAAACTTCCCGTTAGCCCAGGCCTCGGTGATACGTTGTCGAGAATTATAAGCTTCTAATTATAAGCTTTGTCTTATAATTTTTAGTTATAAGCTCATTCCTTTTTGTTTGGTTATTCTAACATCCCTTTCAACTACCTCGCTTTCCACTAACCATGTGGCGGCCAAAGAGGTGATATGGCTCTTCTTGCCGATCATATTTTGTGTGAAGGTGTCGTTCTATGTGGTCGTCGACATGTGTTGTTCAAAGCACAGAGCTATTTGTCAAGAAATCAAAGTCCTTGTGAAGAAAAACATGTGCAAAGCTAAGGTTAATGCATTTAGTGAGATGATATCAATAAGAATGACCAATGACACTGAGAACCCACCATCTCCAGAGACGACACCGATGAAAGCAAAGATCATTGCGAAGCTAGAGAACTTCAAAAAATAGATTGACTAAGTTGAAAATGTCACTGTGTAGTGCTATGTTGAACTTGTTCTCACCACCTTTCTTTCTATGGTGCTAACCATTGTGCTCATTGTGTTGATTGTTATCTCACATTGTAAAGGTGCGACAGCCATTGCGCCCTATCCACTGCCGAGATGAAGTGTTCACAAACTTTTATTCTCGGTTCGGGTTCAGATATTTTATTTGTCGGTTAGGCCAAATTTTTTAATGCCCGAACCCAAAACAAAGATTGTGAACACTTCATGTCGGTAGTGGAGAGGGCACAACGGTTGTCGCACCGTTACGGTGCGAGGTAACGATGAGCACAATGGCTTGCACCATGGAAAGCAATGTGGTGAAAACCAGTTCAACATAGCACTACACAGTGACATTTTCACTTGGTCAATCTCTTTTTTAAAGTTCTCTAGCTTCGCAGTGATCTCTGCTTTCATTCGCGCCGCCTCTGCAGATGGTGAGTTCTCACTATCATTAGGCCTTCTTATTGATACCATGTCACCAAATGCATTAACCTTAGCTTTGAAGATGTTTTTCTTAACAAGAAGGACTTTGATTTCTTAACAAAAAACTTTCTGCTTTGAACAACACATGTAGACGGCCACATAGAACAACACCTTCACACAAAATATGACCGACAAGAAGAGCTATATCACCACTTTGGCCGCCACATGGTTAGTGGAAAGCGAGGCAGTGGAGCCCATTCGGGTCGTGTTGGATTTTTGGCTTTAAAAGTCGGATTTAGGTCGGGTTCGGGTTTCAGTTTTAAAAGTTGGATCTGGTTCGGATATAGTATTATCCGCAACGAACCTAACCCATTGTCATCCTTATCTGATATCGTAGAGGTGATCAAAGTTGATTTATAAGAGTTCTTAAGATAGACAAAAAATTAAAATGTATTTTCAAAGATGCTCTTTTAAATAAAAATGAAATACATATTAAATATAAATATCTAAACTATATGTTTTTTTCCTCATATACTATAAGGGCTTGTTTGGATGAGGGGAGAAAATGAGAGGTAAGAAACAAAAGGGAAAAAATGGATAGAAGATGAAAAGGAAATGATTGTTTGGGTGAAGAGAAAATAAGAGAAAGGAAAATTTCATAAAATAAAATTATTGTAATAATATATTATGCATGGTATAAGATTAGCTTTTAACGCACTATTACAAATATCATAGGTTTGGTAGTTGGTACCATATCAAATTTAGACTTGTACGTATAATATATGCGTACCATTATGTAGAAGCTTGATGGTGTAGTTGCAAAGAAATAACTTTAAACTTTTTCATATCCAGTGTTTGAGTTATTCAGGTATTTAATAAGATGAGATTTTTAGATAGAACAAATATTGAAGAGAAAATAAGTAATATGAGATTTTTACGGAGGAGGGAGAGTCTTTGTACATGGTCTGTGTACATTTGGGTGTATTTTGGAAGGAGGAGGGAGAGTCTTTGTATATTTTTGTATAGGACATTGATTACAGATGTTCTTTTATTTTTTTTTTAAAAAAAATTCAAATTGGTTCATTTATTATTCTTTGTTTCAAAAGTCAACCTACTTTATGACGTTTCTATTGGGGTGCATTCCCTGGTTGAGTGCTTCTTACATTATCTCATTCCGTTTTTGGGTATCTTTAAGTTTACACAATCCATACACAAGCATTACTTGTCAATTCTCTTCTTCTTCTACTCATCAATTTATCATGTAGCTTTCCTTACCCAATTTTAATCATTTCATTCCTTACCCAATTTTACCCAACCAGAATACCCAAGCATGTAAAGGTGACTAAGTACCGAAGTGATCCCAAAGTTTTTTTACAAAATAAAATTGAGAAAACCACACTGAAAATACAGAAGGAAAGTGTAACAGAAAGAAAAGCAAACCATACGGAACTGAACGGCCGGTTTAATATTTGAGAACGGTACGAGGTAACTTCTCATACCGAAAAATCCTGAATCGAATATATATATATATATATATATAGATTTTGGTTCTGGTGAGAATGCAATCTTAGGAGAGAAATGAGAATGAATCTGGTGCTTTAGATTGTGAGATCTAAGGGTCAAGATTTCATCAAAATTAGATGCACCAAAATGGTGCGAAAATGCATCACGTCAAAATGCACCATAAACCTTCGAGAATGCACTATCTCAAAATCTGAGCGCAGAATGCAATCTGAGCCGCACGATGCATCAGATCTGACGGCTAGATTTTATTCTCATTTCTCTCCACAAGGTGCATTCTCACGGGAACTGGTCCCTATATATATATATACATATATATATATATATATATATATATATATATATATATATATAATCTTTTTATATTTCTTCATTAAGTAATAAATTCATTTTGATAATTTGGTTCAAGTTTTATTACGTGTAAATTGGGCTTTTATTCGAGTTTTTTGTAGATGAGTTTAAAATATTAAGAGACATTTGAAATAATATTTTATTATTATTGGTTCATTTTAGTATGTAAATATAAAGTAAGTTTGGTATAGCAATTAATATATTTAACTATTTATTTTTCAATTCTTTGCATTTGTGTATTTAAATGAACCTTCAATTTTTCAAAAATAAAGATTTTGTTACATTTTAAAGTATATATTAGGTACACATGTATTATCTTGATTTCTACCAAAATTGGAACCGAACCAACATCTTGAAATTGAAATCGGTACGACGTAAAAGCTCATACCGAATCGAAATACTTGATATGGTACCGATACTAGCCAAATAACGTACTACGCTCACCACTACAAACATCACTAGTCATTCCTCTCTTATCGTGCTATACACCAATTTCTCCTATAACTTTTCTTATTCACTCTAATGGTTTCTCTAATTTTTTCCATCTTTTCTTACATGTGAGCCCTATATTTTCAAAATCAAAATGTGTATTTCTACATTTTCTTTTAATTTCATGACAAAGCAAAAAAAACTTACATGACCATTTGGTTCAAAATATTTGTGATTCTTACTCTTTTCTTCTCTTACACCTTCCACATGACTTGTCTTAGTTTCATGTCATATGCCTTTCTAAACCAACAAAAATCATGTGTAAATCTTTTTCTCACTTTGACACCTCTTCATCATTCTCTTCAATAAGTATAGAGCTTTAATGATGTAGTTCTCGAAATTCATATCACCCACTTCATCCGAGGGTTATGGATGAATCGGGTGATGGGTTATGTATGAAATGGATGATGGATAAATCGGGTGATAAATAAGAAGTTTAGAGTTAAGGGACCGATGACCTGTTCCCTTCCCCTCTTCTACGGCCTACGGACGGTGCTTTGAACTTCCTGGTAATGGTTTTCTCTCTCTCTCTCTCTCTCTCTCTCTATTTTCTTAGTTACTCCCAATTGTTTAGCCTTTAATTGCTTGTTTATTACTTTAGCCTTTATTTATATTTTTAACTTTTAGGTTCAATTTGAAAGAGAAATTCAGTATTTGAATCGATTTCGAAGATCCCTAACACTTCCCAGATTCCAGGTTTGTTTTTTTCAATCCTTTTTAGTTTATTGTTTTGTGATTTTAGGCCAAAAATATACAGAGTAATTTCTAAGCACGGCCTCCGAATTATCTCAGAGGACCCTAGATAGAAGCTTGAACTAGTGACCTTTAGATTAACAAGGCTTCGACACCTTGCAGGCCTAGGATATAAATATGGAGTATATGCATTCTAATTCTAACATAGACAATGAAAACCAAACAAATATAGAGAAATCAGGCGAGCACTAGACCGATCGAATACTTATTACACGAGCACAAATCGCAGTACATGCCACACCCCTTTCCGAGGAAGGAGATGTGCATTATTATCATTATTTGAAACATGACCAGGAAAAAGAGCGGAGAATGGAAGGGAATAATAAAGCATTAGAAATGTAAAATAAATGAAGATAAAGAGATATCGCTCAGGCAATAATTCCTCTCGATTAAGTGGCTGGAGATTTAAGCAGGAACTTTTGGAACCAGTAAGCAGATTTCTTGTGGTATCTTTTGAGAGTGGTGTAGTCCACATATGTCATCCCGAACCGAACCGTGAGCCCTGCATCCCATTCGTAGGAATCCAGATATGACCATACAAAATGCCCCTTCACGTTTGCCCCCTCCCTGCAAATCATTCGTTACATTTATTTAATTTACGCTACATCTTGAGTTCTACAAAACAATAGGTGACAAGGGGACAGTCTTATTTTAGAATGTATTTAAGGATGGTACATACTTGACGGCTTTTTGTAAGAACCAGAGGTGGCCCTCGAAGTATTTGATCCTCACATCGTCTTTGAGGGCTTCCTGTACCGACAGTTTTTTGTTATTGGCCTCGGCCATACCTGCACAATATACGGAGTATAATATATTGTTCAATCGTACATACCAATGGTCTAGTCGTATTTTTGAATTAATAGAAACACAAGTGCACTGAAAAGCTAGAAAAACCATTGCGTTTAACAGCCTCGTTTGGGAACAGTGTTTTCAATTAGCATTTTGGATATGTTTTTAAAGTCTTTTTGAAATACTGTAGTTGTTGCCAAACGAGCATAACATAGGAAAACGTAAAGGCTTTTTTCATACCGTTTTCGGTGATGTAAATGGGCGGGTTGTTGTATTTTTGTTTGATGTAGAGCATCAGCATTCGGATTCCTTTGGGATAAATGAATAGCCAGTCCAATGGTGTCGGCGTGCCCAGTGGCACGCCGTCTTTGTCAGGCGTGAGGTCAAGATGGCTGTCTGTAGTGTAGCTGAGATTGACGGTGTTGGGTGCAGACAACATTGGAGATGCGTAATATGTAGTGTAATAGTTTATCCCCAAGAAGTCCATTGACCCCTTCACCAGCTTCGACTCCTCCGCTGTGAATTTCGGAAGCCTTTTCCCTACCAAAGCTCTCATGGTTGGTGGGTACTCTCCATTCGTGATTGGGTCCAAAAACCTAAATGAAACAAATTATGAGGCTAAAATAGTAATTTAAAAAAACATATTCAGTTTGACTTTTTTGCGGTTAGACTAGAAATACTTTGATCGTCAATTAAACGAAAATGGTATTTTTGATCAAGTTATTTTATTGTATTGATACGCAACGCAGTTTTTATTTAATTGACGATCCGAATTTGTCCAATTTGACAGGAAAAAGTCAAATTAGACATATACTCTTGTAGGGATTTGATTCATACCATCCCAAATAGAAGTCAAGAGCTCTGTAAGGAGCCTTAAGGCCTTCAGCAGTCTTCACCTTAGGCACAAACCAGTGAGTCACTAGAGTGACTCCAATCTGTCCCTTTTGAGATTTCTGATATTTTTGCCGGTAAACACTGACGGCGGCGGCATGAGAGAGGAGCAAGTTGTGGGCCACAATATAGGGCTCGGTGGCGGAGTTGCCGTGGGTGCAGTTGCCCACATAGGGAGAGCATCTGCCCGGGGCAAAGGTGCCCTTGGCGTACGCGTTCATGCTGTAGGACAATGGCTCGTTCAATGTGATCCAATATTTCACCCGGTCTCCGAACAGCTTGAAGCAAAGGTCTGTGAAGTCTCTATAGTCCTCCCTGCATTGTTTTTTTTCCAAGATAAATTTTAGGACACTCAAATTTAGTTATTTATTAGTAGTAAAAATAATTCTCAGTAATTAATAGAAATTTGTGTGTAGAATGGATAGTTGTGATAAAGATAACGTGTTTTTATGGAGTATATGACGTACGAGATTTGTGCGTGAAACAGACAAGTTCTGTCTGTGTGACAAACATACAAATGTATTTGTCTGTTTCACACAAATCTCGTATGTAAAATGCAAAAAACGAGATTGATGCAAAACTTGCGGAGTACACCTAACAAATAAACTCACACTATTTTATAGCTTAGGAACCCGCCATATTCGTCTTCTAGGGCTTGAGGAGTGTCCCAATGGAACAGGGTTACAAATGGCTTCATGCCTGCAAACAAATAAACAATATGCTTTATGGAGGAAGAACATTGAGGTTATTCGCATTTACTCTTTTACCCCTAGTTCACATCCTAGACTCACAGAACTAGGGAAGTGTAATATTATTAGGAGTAACTTCATGATACTAATGAGAGCTTATGCTAACTACTCCATTAATTTTGATGTCTTTCATGATATGTCAAAAGTTTAATGAGTAAAAACATGATCTATGCAAATACTTGTTCAATTTTTTATTGTGTCTCAAAAAGCATAATAGCCACTTAATTAAATGTTAATGGAATGAATAGTTCATAATTTTTCCTCTAATTTCAAGCTAAGCACATAACTTTAGGATCTAGTATTAGTAATAAACATCACAATTCAAACTTTGAATTGGGTTAAGTATGGAAGATGAAGAGAAGAAAGTGAATTACCATGTGCTACAATCTCATTGAAGACATTGTTGTAGAATTCCACTCCTTTCTTGTTAATTCCCCCACTGATCTTCCCACCTGCACTTAATAATCTATAATTAATGATGCATGCTAAAACAATTCCTTTACATATTTGGCAAGTTTGTGAAATTTATGAATGTTTTGTTTGTGGCTCTAGCACAACTCGTTTGATCAACATTTATGACCCAAAGAACTAGTGGTCTCGTGGCATCACTGTGGCTCCCCCGAACGGGAGGTCGCGATACTACATCGTAAGTTTTTACTCCCTCCGCTCGGAAATGATTTTTCTATTTGACTTTTCTTGGTTAAAGTTTGTAAATTTTGACCTTGACATGTAAAAAATAAAACAGTATGGTTCGAGATATTATTTAATTTGAAAACTCGTTTTTTGGTTCGATCGACCATATGTCTGACCCTAAGAGAGAGTATCATCAAGCCATTTAGATTGGCAATAATGTCCCCAACCAACTTCAACTAGCCATTATTAGTTTGGCACGATACACGTGGAATGTGAGCTTAATTGGGATTAAAAAGTCTGTGAGCTTAATTAGGATTACTAATAATGTACTCGTATTAGCATTATACAGTTGTTAACTAGTGTTACTTAAGAATACTTTAGTCTTTTTTAACTTGTTTTTGTTATATCTTTTCTTTGTATTGAAAATATGTATTTTTATATTTATTGATCCAAATTTTAATTAAAAAAATACTTAAAGCTTTAATAATTCTTGTAAGGGTTTATTTTTTATGGGCCCCTGGCCTCTTATGAACCAGTTTGAATATACTAGGGATTCTATGAAAATTTTGAACCGTCCCGAACTACACCGGGGGGGGGCAAGTCAAGGCATCCCCAGGAGTAACATCTGAATTCGATTTCTGACAAATACATTAAGATCTCGTTTGGTACACGGAATTCAAATTATGAAATTAGAATTGAAGACTTCAATTCTAATTTTGATGTCTGGTAACACAAAAAGTATGTAGATTTGGAATCGATAGTGCAAAAAATGAATTGAAATTGGTGAATCCTATTCTATCGAATTCAATTCCATGAAATTTCAATTTTAATTCTATCAATTTCATATACCAAACTGGCTCTAAAAAATAACTACTCCCTCCGTCCACAAATGAACTTTACGTTTACTATTCACAGGGTCAAACTTTATTTACTTTATTGGCCTATTTTTGTCACCCACTTGATAAAATAATATAGTCATGTCACCTCTAGTTTTGTAGATCTTTTGATATAGTTTTTTAATATGTAATTTTTATTTTTCAATTCTACACCATTTTTTATATAAAATGATTTGAAAATAACTTCAGTCAAACATCGTAACGCGTAATGTAAAGTTTATTTGTGGACGGAGGGAGTATATTAATTATAGGAAATCTTTTACTCCCTATGTTTTTTGAATGACAATTACTCTCCATTTAATATTATGCACACAGTTCCAATGAGTGGTTCGTACAACCCCATACCCAATAAAGATGAGACAAGTGAAACAGGTTCACATGCTTGCCCCCACGGCACTAAATAAAGAGCAATCATGGTAGGTGTTTGATATTTGGTGCACACCAAGTTCTACACCAAAGAATTGTACCCGCACTTTTGCAATCGTTCTTATATTTTGTATCAGTGTAAATTATTAAAATGTAGCAACTCTACAGCTCAAGTGGTGTTTAAGTAGTACGGAGTACTACATTTGTCTTGTTATATTTGTCCAATTTGACTTTTTTGAGTCAAATTGAACAAATTTTAAACTTTTTTTACTCTCAATTTATATTGTATATTAATACAATGAAATAAAATTTTGAAAATTTTTAATAAGATAATTCTAATAAGCATTACCATTTTTGTTTAATTGAACCTCATGTTCACCCTATTTGACTCGAAAAAGTCAAACTATATTATCCTCATGATCTTGGTGTCATGGGGACAAACACACTGGGACGCAGAAAGTATTACTCTTGAATAAATAGATAAAAAAATGCACCCCAATAAATGACTATATTGTCCCCATGATCCTGGTGTCACGGCCAAATGAATTAATGAGACCATGTTAACCTACATTAATTCTCTTCCCCTAAGAGTCTAAAACAAATATTTATGATTATACTACCCTCCCAAAATAGATGTTGTTATTCGAACAATGTACGGAGTATAAAGTTTATCACTTTTAAAAAAAATTTATTAAAATTTAGTTTAAAATAAAATTTACAAATCACATTGGTCAAAAGTTCTACGAAATAAAAGGTAATAAAAATATTTTATTTTAACAAATGATCAATGAAAACATACAAGAAACAAAAGTAGTCGAGAAGATCGTAATAATAACAGTGTGATCTATTTTGGGACAGAGCGAGAACGAAACTAAAAAAAAAGAATTAAGAAATAAAAAATGTTGGGAGTGAGTTTAAGGGAGCAGAAAATAAATTGAAAAAAAAAAGAAAGAATAGATAAACAATGATCATAGGATTCAAATGAAAATGTATGGAAATAATTTAAAAATAGAATATACAAAAATCTTACTTGGTAAAATCCGAGTCCATGAGATAGACAGTCTGAAGGCGTCCATGCCAATCTCTTTGAGCTGCTGTATATCTTCCTGTTCATTTTTTTGATAAATTAATTTTTTTAAATTAAGAATAAATCCAGATGGTTTTTATTTTTTTAATATATCACCATTATTCACGATTTTTAGTATAATGCAAAATATATAGTGAGAAATTATACTCCAAAATTATTCCCCATTTGTAATGGAATCAATAATGCTAAAGAAAGTTAAGTTATTCTCCATTTTCAAAATAGTCATTTTGATGCTACATAACTTTATAAAAATGATAAACATTGATATGTGTTTAAATTTATTTTATAGAGAGAGAGAAGCTCTATATACTCTATCTATCCATGTTGAATTAATTGACATTATTTGATTTGATTTTATGAAGTTTAAGAAATTAAATGCGATGAAAAATTAAAATTGTAAAATTTTTTAAAAGAGCGAAAAAAGTAGACCATATATCCCGGAGTATTATTTATTTTATTAGGAAAATAAATAAGCGTAATAATTCTTTAAAATAGTCTGAAATAGGACTAAGAGGATTAACTTGAGAGGAAGAGAATGTGTATATATACCTTATAATGGTGGTAGAAATCATCAGCCACATCTCCAGTGGATTTGTCCCAAATTTTTTCTGCAACAAAATACAAGTACACTCATCTTATTGCTCTTAAATGCAGAATTATTATTTAAAAAAATTCAAGCAAATTCAAGTCAAATTGGATAAATTATTATCATCAATTATATTAAATTTACATTCCATATTAGCATAACAAAATGAACTTCTGATAGTTTTTCGCAAAAAAAAATAAATATAATGAAATCAATTTTATATTAATATCAAATATCCCGTATAATTTTTATTCGATTGATGATCATATTTGTCTACGCTAACGGGAAAAAAATCAAATTGAATAAATAATGTAGTACGGATGGAGTAATTCACAATAAGAATGTACGGAGTACATAAATTTCTAAAAGTACTTTGAAATTATTTTCCGATTTTAAAGTGGACGATAAATGTTTTACATCACAATGTTTTTCTTTTTTGAAATTACATCACTCATTAACCCCCTGTTTAGATAGTTTTTAAGGAAAGAAAGAAAGGGTGGAAAATTTGGGATGAGAAAATAAAATTATTTTTCCTTCTCTTGTTTGGATATTTTAGGACATAAGAAAAAGTAAATTTATTTTACCTTCTGATTAATAGAATAAATATAAAATTATAGCACGAAAACTTTCTTCCCATTTTAGAAGAAAAATTAATGAATATTTTCCAGAGAAAAAGACTAATAAATTAGGAGTAAAATATTGAAAATATATTAAAAAAAGGAGCTTCATGTTTTAATTTCCAAAATAGAAGTTAAAATGTATGTACAGTGCCAATTATGCTATATATATATATATATATATATATATATATATATATATATATATATATATATATCCAAAAAGTAATGTTAAATGTCCATACAACTCTTATTTTGGGAATAAAAACATGAAGGTTCTATTTTAGTACTTTATCTATGTTTTATTCATATTTAGATGATTTCTTTATTTTACATCCTCTCTTACTTCCCTCCTCTTCCCAAACATATTATATCCACTCAATCTTTTACTTTCCATCCTTTATTTTTCTTTTTCATCCTTATTTTCCCTCTTCCAAAGAAAGGGTAAATGTTTATGTGTGGGGGACGTAATTTAATTGGTCTATAAGGATGTAAAATGACTTGACAAAGTTTGACTAAAAGGTAAAACGAAATCTTTGTGTTTCGCATAAAGTATTTATTGAGATTGTATAGAAATCTCACTCTTTATTACTGACTTGAAATTTTAAGGTTAGTCAATTGCACAGATCTAACATGAAAATCCTAATATTGAAATCTTTTTTTAGATAAAATAATTGAGGCATGCTAGGGGTACACTAAAATAGGGCATCTCATTTGTAGACCAATCAAACACAGACACTTAGTGTTTGAGAAGTGCATGTGATCCACAACACTAAGTATCTGTGTTTGCCTGATGTACAAATAAGATACCCATTTTAGTGTACCCTAGATTTATTCAAATTATTTATATTGATGTGAGAAGATAATGGTTGGGCACATCATCATTTATTGTAGTACAATAATGCACAAGTATCATGATATGAGTGATGAGGGTACCCAAGGAGGGACCATATTTGTATTATACTACCTCCATCCCACTATGTTTGTCCACTTTTGACTTTTAGAACTGTTCATCTAAGCACTTTGACTCATCAAATTCTCTTCAATATGTAAGCCTAAAAATAGTCATGTGTGATCTTGTTTGATTCGTCTTAACATATAGATTATTAATATATAATTTTTATAATTTTTTAATATACAAATTACAAGATAAAATGGATTAAAGAAGTGCATTGGATGGTGTGCCAAAAGGTAAGTGGACAAAGATAGTGGGACGGAGGAGGGAGTACTATATTACTATACCCATATATAGTCCAAGAAGTATACCACCAATCAGTCTTCTTCAAAACAATTAACCAACCAATAAGTACCAATGGCCAATGGGTGGAGTTTTTCTCCAGAGGACAGTGTTCAGGATAATTTGTATGGGACCCACTTAAGTACTTCTCCATCACATATAAAACCTTGCGGCTGAATTTTACAAAATTTAAGAAAATTATTTAAAAATAAAAAAAATCCATGATTACATTTTGTTTTGACAAAAGAAATGCTTTAAAATAACATATTAATTACTAAAATATATATATACTCCGTAATATAATGTGTTTTTGGGACATCCATAAAAGAAAATATAAAGTGTTTTATGAAAGAAATGAAATATTTGTACAGCTGCGTTCGCTTTGCGTTTCTTAATTTAATACTACTGTCCCTAAATGATTTATACTCTTTACAATTCAAAAATTGTGAATTCTTCTTCACAATTTAATACTCCCTTCATCCCTAAACTTTTCTTTCCAATGATTTACACACTTTACTATTCAAAAATTGCGGAAACTTTTGTTTCTCGGTGTTTTCGTTGACTATTTGATGAAATAAAATATTCTCGTTACTTCTTATTTTGTAAAACTTTTGATGTACTTTTTAAATATGTAAATTTTATTTTTTATTTTTTATTTATATACCGCTCTTTAAATGAAATAATTAAAAAAATTGAGATTTTACTTTGTTTTACGTAAAATGATTTAGGGACGGTGGGTGTATGTTTTTCCTCTTTCTCACACCTCTTCAAATGCAGATTTGTGTCTCGATTTAGGGCCTATTTGGGAATAACGTTAGCGTTTTGGATAAAATTTTAATGGTGCAGATTATTTTGAAAAGACTAACGTTAAACGCTGCCCGTAGATAGTCTTTTCAAAATTTTAACGCTTTAACTTTTCTTTTTTGTTTTACGAGTAATTTCTTTTGGTTGACATATGTTTAATTTTTGTGGTTGAATCTACTGTTTTTTAGCTTACCTCATTCACTTGTTTTTTTAATTTTACCTTTATAAAAAGTAGTGAGGGAAAGGAATATAGTGTGTGATTTTTTTTTTTTTAAGTTTGAGTTCAGTGTAGTGAGTAGAAGATAAATTACTGATTAATTTGACATTTAATACATTTTGGATTTGATTTTGGTATAGATGGTTGGATATTTGCAGCTCCTGAAATTTATCAGGTACTCCGTACATTATTAAATATCAGTCAATTTATTGCACTAAAAAATCATTGTCAATTTATTAGGTGCATTTTTAAAAACTATCTTTCTCACATAGAAAATAATCATCCCCTGAATCTGTGACATTGTAAAATATTGACGTAATCTTTCCGTCCTAGTTTAAATTGCATGTGTATTAATTATATGTTCAAATATTAACCGTGTTTTTGACCCATTTTTGTGAACCATTTGATTGATTATTAAAAATTATTCTAATTTGATTATTAAAAAATTTAATCTAGACAGACTGAGTGTAAACTCTAAAGTTACTCCATACTCCATTAGCCCATCTCTAACCATTTACACCATATCCAAACTCAAAATGTAGCAAATGTCAACTTTAGAGTAATTTATCTCTAACTCATTACATCAAAAGCAAAATAACATTTCATAGTGTTTTCTTTTTCTTATTACTTTTTATATTTGTAAAAATAAAAAAATTGCAGTAAATTATTAAAAAACATCTAAATTAAAGAGACAATGTAATTAAATTTAATTGAATTATATTACCGGGGTGTTTGTGAGTAAAAGTATCCCAAATGCTAGGCCCCTTGCCATCTTCAAGTGCTCCTCCTTCAATCTGCATCAAGCATTTTAATTTAATTATATATACACACTTAATTACATAGTGTTGTTATATTAATTCCGGCCTATATAATATAATTAACTTGCATTATATTCGAACATAACATTAATCCAGCCATTTGGAAAAATGCGAATAATGTGCTCTTCTTTATCTATTGCGATGCAAATTTAGTTGGTCACAGTTGTGGTAAAATGAGAATAATTTTTTTTACTTAAAAGAAATGAGAATGCATATATAAATTGTAGCATTTCAATAAATAAGTTGAATTTTGTTACCGCGGCAAGCTCTACCGCAAATGTGCTTCAAATCCCAACGTTCAAAAAATTCGTAATTTTCATTTTTCACGTTCGGAGTGAAGGCTTATTCTCTTCAACTTATCTGATTGGTTCACATATGATTCGATTATGTTCTAATCTGATCTGATTCCAAAAGAAATAAATAATAAATAATAAAAAAAAGAAATTGAAAAGAACAAACTATATATATATATATATATATATATATATATATGTATGTATGTATATATAGTAAATATTTATTTAAAGACCTGGTAGGCAGCAGAAGAAGCCCCAAAAACAAAATCAGAGGGAAAACTGGTCCTGTTGAATGGAGCAGCAAAGTGGGTGCTGGGCACTACACCTGCAGCCTTCACATTATTACTACTACTACTAGCTGAAGCAGCAGCAGCAAGAAGAAGAAGAAGAAGAAGGGACAAGGGCCTGTTTGGAGCCATTGTTTTACCCCTTACTTAGTTATGGAGAGGGCTGATCTGATGATGAGTGTTGAGCCCAAGAATGGCTGCTATTTATAGCTAGCTCACATGCAACTTCACCCGTTTTCCGTTCTAAAATAATCGTCTCACTTTGAACAACGTGCATAATCACATCACATTTAAAATTATTTTAATTTATCAAATAATTAATGAAAATTATACTTCAAATGTTGTGTTTTAATTTATCAAATAATTAATGAAAATAAATAAATAAACGAAAATTATCAGGAGAACAAAATGGTAAGCAAGGCCATTGTTTTGGAAGGGAGGAGTATATTAAATGCCATGGGAAAATCAGCTAGATGAGTTGTTTGGTTGGACACTTGGACGGAAGTAAATTACTCAGCTCTATGATTATTTTAATAAAAAACTAGTATCACACCCGTGCGTTGCACGGGTCATTTTTATGTTATTAAATTTAAATCATTTTTGAATGATAAAAATGAGATGGAATAAAATATAGAGATTATATTATTTTAAGGTACAAAACATCACTATTTTACAAATTTCGAAAGACTTTTTTATAAACTACATTATTGTACAATTTGTGGGAATATTTATAGTGTATTTAATTGTAATAAGTTATAGGCTATTATAATTATAATTATAATAAAAGGGTTAACTTTTTTCAAAATTGGGTGTATAATTATTCTTACCATAATTATTTTTTCGAAATTGGGTGTATAATTGTATAACTTACCTTTTTTAATTATTTCCAATTTTCAAAAACTTACTCTTTGCATTTGTATAACTTAGCTATATTTAAAACTTACGTTTTGGATTTGTATAACTTACCTTTTTTAATACGGTAATTATTATAAATATAATAATTATATTAACTTACAATGGCTTACCATTTTATATTATTCACGTTAATTATTATAAAATAATTATATTAACTTTCGATGGTTAAAAATGATAGTTACTTATTCTTACAATAATTTCATACGTTTCCAATCAGTAGTCCAAATAACATTGGTTAATTATTAACATATAATACATTGATTCCAATTTTATTAGAAACTTACGCTCTGCGATTTTATAACTTACCTTTTTTAATTATTTCTAATTTTCAATACGTTAATTATTATATATAATAATTATATTAACGTCACGCTTACCATTTTATATTACTCACGTTAACTATTATAAAAATATTAGCTATATTAACGTCACACTTACAATACGTTAATTAATTATTATAAAAATAATAGCTATTATTATATTTATACCTTTTTCAATAATTATAAATCCACAATTTCGGCCAATTACCATTTTAACATCACAATTATTTACTTACTTTTTGGCCATTTTATAATTATTATAAATATAATAATTATAATAATTACTACTACAATTTCAGTCACTACAATTATTAACTTACCTTTTTTAATTAGTTCTAATTTTCAATATGTTAATTATTATATTTATACCTTTTTTTAATAATTATAGCTTCAGAATTTCGGCCACTTACCATTTTAACTTCACAATTATTAACTTACCTTTTCCCCATTTTATAATTATTATAAATATATTATTATAATAATTATTACTACAATTTCGACCACTACAATTATTAACTTACCTTTTTTAATTATTTCCAATTTTCAGTACGTTAATTATTATATTTATACCTTTTTTTAATAATTAGAACTTCACAATTTCGGCCACTTACCATTTTAACTTCGCAATTATTAACTTATCTTTCGGCCATTTTGTAATTATTATAAATATAATAATTATAATAATTATTACAGTAATTTCAGCCACTGCAATTATTAACTTATCTTTCGGCCATTTTAACTTACCTTTCTTTAATTATTATAAATATAATAATTATAATAATTAATTAATTATTAATATAATTTCGTCCACATACCATTTTAAATTCACAATTGTCATTTGTAATTGTCATGCTCTTTGGGCGGGAAAATCATATGTTGACTCCATGCCTTTTTAAATAAAGTATGGATGGTAATTATAATTACATACAATTTGGTATATTTTCAATGATTGACTCTTATTTTAGTCATTTTCCTTTTAATGTTTAATTACTTTCCGTCTTTCCATTCATGGAGTAATTTACCTTTGTATAATTGTATTACAACGTACTTCAATGCTCACATTATTTTTGGATAGTTATTGGTTTTATATTTTGTACTTTGACTTCAATATGACTTCAATAATTCACGTTAAATTTATTTAAGAATCAAAAGGTTTCCTTTTTTTAAATACTAGTATTTTGACCCGTGCCATGCACGGGGTCGAAAGAAATTTTTGTCGATTCTGAATTTATTTTAATGAAATTTATTTTTCAGAATAAAGTAAATATATTGCTCACATGATTTTTAATACTACAAATAAAAAAAGTCAAAGTAAAATAAATAATATTTGAGGAACAGAATGTAGAGTTAACAATGTTTATTTTAATACCAATTTTTCTGAAAGATTTCAGGGTATACAACATTTTTGGTATGATTGCAAGGGTTTCTATTGTCATCTAGAAGTAATACTTTTAATCCGGTCTTTGTCTTCACTCGTGAAACAACAAAATATAGTTGACCATGTGTGAACACTAACTTGGTTAAAAATAATTCCACGAATGACAATGTTTGACCTTGACTTTTGTTGATTGTTATAGCAAAACATGAGGCAATCGAGAATTATCTTCTTTGGAACTTCAAGGGTAGCCCTAGATCAGATGATACCAAATTCATTCTAGGGATGTAAACTTTTTCCCCGACTCGATTTCCCGAAACCGCAATTGCACCGATAACATTATTTAGCAGCTAATGAACGATTAATCCTGTCCCATTACATAATCCAGATGTTTGGTCAATGTTCTTCTATAGCATAACCGGTACCCCTTTTTTCAAGACTATTTTGTGGTTTGGGATTCCCAAACATTTGATTTTGTTCAAAAACTCAACTCTTATCCAATCGCCATCAACACCTACATCTGCTTCTGCTTGGCACGAAGAATCAGAACTCAAGTACTCCTTTTCATCACCAGGAATGAGGGACAGAACAAATTCATTTATCATTTCAACTACTTCGAGAGTTGGTGCCAATAGTGCTTTATCCTCATAAAAGAATAATTTTTCATATTTTCAAACATAAGTCATTTCCCAATATAAGACTTAAACTTTTTCAAATTTTTCATTTTTCAAATTTTCCATTTTTCATTTTTCAAACTTTTTCCCAATATATTTTTTCAAATTTTTTATTTTTCATATCTGCACTAAATAACACTAAAACAAAAGTCATTTTCCAAAATAAGACTTAAACTTTTTATCCCTTAAATAACACTTAATAATGTCTAGAAGGAGAAATAATATCCTGTGACGGTGAACATTTGTCTAAATAATGACTAATGGATAATGACTATAAAAGTGCTACATTGAGAAATAAAAAACATATGTTGCTATTTAGGGAAAGTCATTATGTTTTGGAGTAATTTAGGTAAATTCCTCTGACTATGAATATATATATGGAGTATCAATTATTTCAGTTGAACACAGCTTAGTTGCCATTTTGATAAATGAATTACGTGTTAGATATAAGTAAATTTTCCAATTTAAAAATTATATTTGAACTTTGAATTATTTACATTGATCATTCCGTATCAGTGCCTAATTTTTTTTCCTCGCATGCAAATCATTTTGTTTTAAAATATGTACTCACATTTTTTTTATATTCACCCATTTCATATCAAATTTATTGCATAGTTTTGAATTTTATTTAAAAGATTTTAAATACGAATATGTTTTTACTCAACTTTGTTAATATTCGTCCATTCAATTGTTTAAAATATTCAATATGTATAAACTATTTTTTTCATAAAAAATATAGACAAATGAAATTAAAGAGTCATGGTTAGACATCATTTTATTCCTATTGATGTAAATATAAAATTGATAAAAAATAATCGGTGAGCTATATGCATACCTAGATAAATCAACAATTATACAATTGTTTCCAACAGGAGATCCGCTGGTGCATCATATATAATTTATTTCCGCTGGTTTACTTGGATATTACGTGGCGTGCTGACATGTTTAAATTTTGCCAAATAGACATGCCAAATGTCGAATTTCTGTGCATCCGAGTCTCCTTTATTATATTAAAGGATTATTTTTATGTTTCTTAATGTTTTAAAAGTATTTCCTTTTTTAAACGTAGACACGTCTCACCAATCACTTCCCTTAATAAAAATCCTTTATTTAATGCACACGAATTCTAAAAAATATGTAACAAATCTCGCAATTAAATTTCTTTCCATTACAAATATTTCCATAAATATTGTTAAACAAATTACTAATCGTTATTGTTAGAAAAATTCCATAAAAATTTTCATCACTAATCGTTTCCCTTATTTAAAACCCTTTATTTAGTGCACTAAATAAATAATTTAGTGCACTAAACCCTTATTTAAAACCCTTTATTTAGTGCACTAAATAAATAATTTAGTGCACTAAACCCTTTATTTAGTGCACTAACTTCCATAAATAATTTTCATCACTAATCGTCTCACATATAATTCTTTCTCCGAAATTTTAAGCAAATACAACTAAAGTTTATTATGGTAATTACATCTTTAAATACATTTTCTGTTATATGTTCTCATTTTCTTTAGTTACCTTTTATTATTACCATTCGTATAAATGGTTTTATTTCATACGTTTTTAAATACAAAAATATATACAAAAATATAGGAGCTAAATTAAATAAAATTTCCATTCGTACCTTTTTTATACACGTTTATATTAAATAAAGTTTTTTATGGTAATTACACGGTTTTATTAAATTAACATTCGTTACGATTTTAATTACACCGTTATATTAAATTACCATTTTTAGTTGAGATTACCATACACGATTACGATTTTAATTACATGGTTGTATTAAATACCATTTAGTAATTACCATATGTAGTTAAGAATTACCATATTTTATACACCATAAAATGAGCGGGAAAAGGTCAATGCAAATTCATGGCTTTTTAAATAATAGATAGATAAAAAATAGACTCACACCAAATGTGACACCATATTGTTTCACATATACACTTACAAAAAATTAGAGTCACACCAAATGTGAGTATGTGACACCATAGTGTTTCAATTACTTTATGTTTATTTCAGCAAAAAATAAAGTTAGAGTCACACCACGTGACATCATATTGTTTCACATATACACATGAGCAATGCAAAGTATTTCATATTCCCTCCGTCCCCAATTTGATTACATAATTGGAGTTTACGAGGAGAAATATCCCACTTTTTGAAATCATTTTATTTACAAATCGGTATATCGATAAGAAACAGAAATTACATATTAAAAAGCTACGTCAAAAGTTCTACAAAACAAGAAGTGACAAGAATATTTACTTTTATCAAATACTTAATGAAATCGTGTAAACAAATAAAAGTTATTGAGAGGAGAGAGAAAAAAATTATAATATAATTGGAGACGGGAAGGAGTATGTGTTTGTGAGACATTGTGGTGTCACGCGTGTCACACTTGATAATCATGTAGCTTCATTGCTGTTTGTTTGTTACAATACTTACAAAGAACGTACTAAATAAAGATTTTTTCTTTGATACATGCATTTGTAATTGATAATCATGTAGAGGCATCCCGACCCTACCAAAATACTAAGCTCATTCCATACACTCATTTTACTCCACTAGTTTTTAAGCTACTTTTAATCTAGTATTTCACATGAACGTATGTATGTACAATCGAAAAATTTTAAGATTTTGATAAAAAAATTTTATGAATTAAAATACCGATAATATTATTTTTTTTTATTTTTCTAATAAATATTTTTTCAAAACTCTAATAAATATATTTTTAATTATAAGATATGATATCTTTTTGAAATAAAAGTTTTATTTTTAAGAACAATGCACATTTATTAATATAGTCATATAAATCTTTGTTTTTAGAAAGCAATAAAAGTGAATATTGGCCGGTGAATACACTTTATATAGTTTTATCTAATAAAAAGTATATAATCCTCGTTTTAAAATATTAAATAATTATACTGATTTTAAAAAATGGTGAAGGGCTCTCTCTCTCTCTCTCTCTCTACCATGGCGAAGAGGAAAGGGCGACCGAAGAAGAACGCTGCTGAGATAACCAACTCTGTAGAACAACAATAGAACACGTACGATGAAAACTAGCTAGCTACATTGATGTTCCATGCACCTCCGTTTGCATGGATTGTGTGCGGCAATTTGCTTTTTAGTTCTCTGTTTTTTTTTTTTTTGGGGTTTTTTCCTTTTTGTTTCAGAATGAAGGATTTTTTTACTATAAATATTTTTATGATAAAATAAATATATCAAATAACTTTTAAGAAAACCCCCTAAATAGAAGTAAAACATGTGTTATATCCTCAAAGTAGGAGTTCAAACTTAAACTCCTCTAAGTAGGAGTAGTTAAATTTTTTTTGTTGTACAATTGTTTAGCCGCCGGGAGCCACCCATTCACTGCCTTGGCGGAAATTAAATGAACATGACACTAGTGCTGACAATGTTTGACTAATGATAACTCTCATGCATGCATGGATGCTAATATATGGCTAGCTATTACTTCTTCAATCCAAACTCTTTCTATTTGTTTTCTTTTTTCTTTTTTTGGGATTCTTTTTTTATTATTATTGGTGGGGGTGGAATTTTTTGTTTTTGTTTTTTTGGCATAGAGCTAACAATAGAGAGATTGTGTGTTTGTTTATTTTAATTGTCTTCTTTCCATAATTAATGACTTCGTGGGCTCGATGCATGCACATGTATCACCGAGTACAATTGAACTTTTGGCATTTTGTAGAGTCACGTTTGTCACTGTGCATTGACATCTTTGGTATTTTGTTTTCAATTGACCTAAAATTTTGTATTTTTGCATCTTACAATGTCATGTTTGTCACTGTATGTTGTCATTTTTAGCATTGTATTTTCGATTGACAGTGTATGAATTATTTTTTTCTCCATGTAACACTATGGCCCTACACCTGTGGGGGTTAGCGATGCCGACAACGTGCGACGATAACAGGAGCAAGGGGTGATGAAAGTGGCAGATCTTGGCGGCGGCAAACGGTGAGTCAACAACTCCTATTTTGGGGGTTTTATGTTTTCACTCCTATTTTGAATTTTAATCAATGTTTTACTCCTATTTTGCTCCTTAACCCATAACTTTTTTAATAATTAAAATAGATCAAAAAATATAAAAAATGATAAAAACAATGATATATCATTGGAGGGATCGAGGAAATGCCACTCTAATCATTTGTTTTTTAATTGGTTCAAGGCTTTTAATTTCTCCCATGTAGTAATTGCTTATGCCCTTAGCTCGGGCTAGTGTCAAAACCCAAAACCGTACCGGGTCAACTCGACTGGTTGGAAGAAGCAAAAAAACCACGCGGATTTCAAAGTCCTCGATTAATCAAATCATTTCAGAATTATTTTCACGTCCGATTTCCCGATTCATGCTTTGCTCGTCGATCTTTCCTCTCGCCGTGCCGCACAATCGATTCGCACTCCGTCTAAACCTTCTATCGCTCAATAATCACGCTCTGCAGCATCCGCCCACTGGCCGTTGTCTCATAATCGGAGTTCGATTTTGGAAGTTTCAGTGTTTCGTTGTATTTATTGAGTTGGTCGCAAAATCTTCATACTTTAATCGCTAGCTCTACATGGAATACAATGCGTTCGATAGCAGTGGTGAGTATTCATTATTAAGGTAATGATGTTATGATTTTTAGTGTAAGGTTGGGGTTGGATTCTTGCAGAGCACTAGGGTTTGTGAATTGGCATTAGCATTATAAGTTTTAATTTAGTTCCATGAACTTGGTTAGGTCTTCAATTCTAGAACTTGGATATACTCTGTGAAAAAAAGGTAAAAGCTTTAGCCTTGCTCTGTTTTATCTTTTGTTGTTTCTCCTTGCTATGAGGTTTGGGTTTTGTTCGTTATCTTTTTCATTGCAGTTTTCTCGTTTGTCAAAAAGGATTTGCCAATTAAGTCAAAATGCAGATCTTTTATAAGTTGCTATAGTTCCTTTTTGTTTGTCAGCATCTATTTCCAGAGTGATCTCAATTCTCAACCAGAACTTGACATGCCAAGTTTGGGGGTATAGGGGCTGTATAGTGATTTTAGTTTTTCAATTTATCTTCTTCTTCATTATGTGGTGCACCAATGTTCCGATGCTATGAGGTTCTTGAAGTTTATATGTGAACAATATGGAATAGTTACTTCTGTAGTGAAGTCACTAGAGCGAGTAAAAGCAGTAGTGGTTTTTTTAATCCTGGAATCATAATCATTTAGTTTAAAACTGTTGCTTTTGTGAATATACTAAAGATGCTATTTTTATTTTGTATTTTCATTTGTTGGCCCTTACTACCCTAAGTTATATGCATCTTGATTGTGTGGCAGTGTTTAATTTTGTTTTCCTGATTTTTTCCACTTATTTTTTGAACTGTCCATTGATGCATAAGAAAGCAAAAAAAAAAAATAGTTTTTTAACTCACATAAATTTTACCTAAAAAGTAGAAATTATAATTCCATGTTCAAATAACTTCGTATGCAACACCTTGTATGTTGTCTTGATTCATAACAAGTTAACAAGGTCCCACAATTGGGGTGTGACAGAGTAGGTGTAGGCAACCTTATTCGTAGTGAAGCTCTTTCTCTCAATTAGACACGGTTGCCCTAATTTGATTATTGACAATTACTTATTGCTCTTTGGGCAGTTAATTGTTTTGATAATTCAAGCAAAATACGGAGTAGTCAATTATGAGTTCAATTTTTGCATTTCAAATGCTCAATCAGAATGAATACGAAAGTTTCTTTTTGTGCATTCATGAAACTCTTTTTAGCTAAGAAACTTTTATTTCTTAACAACAAAAACAACCCGAACAGAATCCTTTTACGAATTTTACCACTATATGAGGGTGGCACCTATAGAAAAGAATTATAAGAGGGAGAAGGAGAGAATTCAAACAATAGATGGGAAACACATTGTTGTTTTTGTATATTTTCCATCCCCATCGACTAATGCCTTGTCCTCAAGGCTTGAATGTGAAAACAATCCGCGTTGGGTGAGTTGATGGTAGGATACAAGAGTGGGGCGAAGATGTGGGTTTCCTTGTAATACAATAGCTTGATCATTATGAATGAACTCCATTGTAAGTTTTTTATGATCGGTCGTGACCTTTTCTAAGGTCTCCAACCATTCCATATTGAGAATGATGTCACCATCAAAGATTGTAACGCATGAAAATCAGTGGCAAACTCAACTCCGTGAACCAATAATTGCACATGACGTGCAACACCATCATTTTAAATTCGAGCACCATTTCAGACGGCCACTAAGAATCCTTTGGTGGTTTCCAATCAGAGGTGAAGATGCTGAACAATTTGTGGTTGGATATAATTGTGAGAATTCCCAGTGTCAATCAAGACGGTGAATTGCTTCCCTTGGATGGTGGTGCCTGGTGGTGAGGCAAAATGTTCGAGGGTCGGAAATACCTTCAAATGCAAGTAGGGAGATAGCCAAAGTGCCGTCCCAAGCAGTGTGCTCATCAATAGTTCTGTCATTTTTATGATTGTCAAGCATTACCACACAACTTTCTGTTGGTCGGGATTGTATCTCTCAAGCAGCGTGCTCATCAACAGTAATGTTCGTCACAATTATATCACAACCCTTTTTCTCATCGGGATTGCATCTCGTCAGCCGTAAGTTTCTTAATCGGTAGCAGGCTACGGCGGGTGGGGAAAATGTTTTTGGTTGGAGATAGAAGTAGCGGTAGTTTGGTGTTAACGGGCACAGGAGTTGATAAAGGCCTGTTACTAGGATCATTCTTTGTAGCTTATTGCTTATCTTCTCTTAATTTGGCTAGTCTTATGGCTTTGGCTATATCGGTGGGCTTTAAGATCTTGTGTTCGGCTTGAATACCTAGTTTAAGTCCTGAGATAAAACAGTCCAAGATGGCTTGCGGTGAGAAATCACTCGATTGCACACAATTTCGAATTCTTCTTGATGCGTGGTGACCGATTTGTGTTGGGAGAGCTTGAACAATGTTGCTCGATGGTTCACATGGACAGGCCAAAGCGTTGCTCTAGCGCATTGGCGAATGCCCCCAAGAAAAGAGTTGTTGGTACCGGTGCATCCACTTGTACCATGATAACGCTGGGCCAACCATGGAGAAGCTAGCTTAATCAATCCTTTGTTCCTCCGGGATGTCCCAAAAACAAAAAATATTTTTTCACCAATCGCCAAAAAGCGGATTGCTTCTGTCAAAGGTAGCAAGCTCACAATGGGGCAATTTCAGTTGAGGGCAGAGTTCGGGGTGGTTGGCGGTACGAGGAAACTTGATTGTTGCTCGTAGTGAGTTGTTGAATATGTGCGGCCATTCCTTGGTTTCTGTGTGTTCCGCTTGAAGTTGATGGAGTTGCTCCTCGAGAGCTTGGTAGTTGTGGGTGACCATTCCTTCAGATGTCATCTCTCAATGAGAGCACCAAATTGTTTTGAATTTTACAGCTATATGAGGGTGGCATCTCCAGAAAAGAATTATAAGAGAGAGAAGGAGAGACTTTAGACAATAGATGGGAAACACTTTACTTTTTTGTATCAAATCCCACACGTGGTAGGTCTGGAGGTAAGTGGACGCATATAGTTTCATTTCATTAATGCTCTTAAAGTAAAATTTTAATTGTAGGAGGAACCAACCGGCAAGATGCCTTTATTCTAAACCTCATATTTGTTTTTATTGGAAAAATGCATATGTGTATTTAGGTTTCATGCCTCTTCACATTCGTACAAGTGTACAACAATGGGAATGTGAAGCTTTTATTTCATGAGTTCCTATTTTATTTGGAAATTATTTAAGCTTTGCTACATTTATCATTTGTAATAGTCAAATTTTATTTTGTTATTGTTAAGAAATCTAGTCAACCACAAACTCGAGCTAGTGATTGAAGTCCCAAAAATGTTTTTATACTCTAACACCCTTCTTAAGTGCTTGTGAGATATCTTTGCTCGAGCCTTGTTTGTGAACATTTTTGTAAATGGGTGGAAGTTAGATTCAAACTTGTGACCTACATGTCAAGAAGGCTCTAATACCACATAGATGAACCAACTCCACCAAAAGCTCATGTTTGTGATTAAAGACTCAAAAATGATTCTATACTCTAACACGCTTACACACCTCATGTGCAGGCAAAGTTTATTTACTCAAGCCTTGCATGTGAACATTATGTTTTTAAAAGGGGTGGCGCTTAGATTCAAACATGTGACCTTTAGGTCAACAAGACTTTGATACCATGTTAAGCAACCACGTCATCCACAAGTACAAGCTTGTGATTAGAGATTCATGAATGTTTTTATATTTTAACTAGTGTTATAATGTTCTAGGCTTGTAGCATAATTTGTACGGAGATTATATTGAATTAACAACAACAACCACAAACCCAAGAAAATCCCAATTTTGTTGGGGTCTTTAGGGGTTAAGATGAACGCGACCTTACATTTCTAAGAAACTGAGAAGCTCCTTTCCTCAGGTATTATGTATTACTCCAATTTTCTTCCCTAGACTTCATAAAAAAGTAAGAAGCGAATGAAGTTTTGGACTTATTTGCGAGTTCAAGAGGATGTTGCTTATTTTAGGTGACTTTTCCCATACTCTGTGTGTGTGTGTGGTATGGAGTTATGAGAAGAGGGGAGGGGAAATAAAGTGCTTAGTTCTCCATCCATTGAATCAAACACGCCATTAGTGTTGAATTACTTCACTTTTCTTTAATTTTTTGTAGGTTCAGAAGCTTGGATTGAGTAATGCAAGTTAGGGATTGTGGATGCCATTACTAATGACAGTTTTGTATATTTAGCTTAAAAATAAATGATATTTCGAATACAATGCATGCCAATCCTACTTTGCTGATGTGTGATCAGGTTTGAATGGTTTGCATTCATGCTTAATTTATGCTGACTTGCTTCATTGCAGGGACAGATGACGATCTTCCTCCAACGCATCAAAATAGAGGTGGTCGTATTGCCAGTAATGGTAGATCAACAGCAGTAGGTTCTATCCCTTATCCAAGGATGCATGGAGAAACTGATATGGAGACTCTAATTCGCCAGCTGGAGCAAGAAGCATACAGTTCAGTTTTAAGAGCCTTTAAAGCTCAAGCTGATGCTATTACTTGGGTACTCTAACATCCTTTTGATCATATGAATCTAATATAGGTATATGTTTCTAGTCAAGATTAAGCAATTGCTCTAAGAGATCTGTTTTCTTCAGGAGAAGGAAGGTTTGATAACTGAACTTAGAAAGGAGTTGAAATTGTCAAATGAAGAACACAGAGAACTTCTTGGCAGAGTAAACTCTGATGAGGTCATCCAAAGAATAAGGTTTGCAATATTGCTTTGATTGGAATCATTTCATGCTAGTGCTTGCCGCTTGGTGATGATTTCTTTTTCATCAGGGAGTGGAGACAATATGGTGGGAACCAACAAGGAATACTTAGTACAGGTCCTCAATCCGGCATTCATAGTTATGGGCAAGCTATTCACGATTTGATCCCCAGCCCTTCTGTCTCCGCTTCTCGGAAGAAACAAAAAGTGGCACCATCATTACCATCTCATTCTTTTGGTGGACCATCACCTAGTTTTCACCCAGCAGCGCTAAATACATCTAATCAACCATCATCAGTTGCTAAGAGAGGGTCTGTGGTGGGTCCCAAAGGGAAAAAACAAAAATCTGTGAGTTCTTAGGACCTTCGAAATTTATATTCTTTACTTTTGTGTTCTGAGTATTTATTGCCATTTACCTCTTTCCCACAGGGTCCATTACCCTCTGGTGCAACTAAGGCTCAATATCCTCCCTCTGGCCTTTCTGGAAGAGATCAATCTGGTAATATGATTGCTAGGCCAACTGATGGAGCTTCATTGATTGGAAGGAAACTAAGAACCAGATGGCCCGAGGACAATAATTTCTATGATGCTATCATAACGGATTATGATGCAGTGAATGTATGCCTTAATTTTTGCTGCTTCATGAAAGCTAATTACTTGATCAATGCAGTAATTGTGTGCTTTGTAGTGAAATAGTTTCTTTTTAAGAGCTATATTCTAATACGTTTTCATGTATTATATTAGGGACTCTATAGTCTTGTTTATGACAATGACACTCCAAATGAGACTTGGGAATGGATAAACCTTTCAGAGGTATATATAGATAAAAAAGCTTTCTTTCTCCTCACAGCACATTTAATTTATATATTTGATTTCTTGTAACATTTGCGTAATATTTTGAGTATTGGTCTCCAAGCCATACAGGCTGGTTTGTAAATTCTCCATACAATTCAAAGTTTCTATCATGTGTAGTAGCTAGAGTAGTTTGAAGTTAAATATATTAGGTCAGTTTACAACAACCCGATAGAATCCCACAAAACTAGGGTCCGAAGAGGGTGTGTGTATGTAGACCTTACTCCTACTTGAAAGTAGAGAGGTTGTTTTCAAGAGATCCCCAGCGAGCAATATAGAAAGCACATAGCACGACAGAAAAAACAAGAGTGAATTCCATAAATGGCTTATAACAAGTGGTTTTCCATATTTAGTCCCCAATTCTAATATATTACATGTGTTGCCCCCAATCTGTAACAAAATATTCCATAATCAGTCCTTTGGGGATTAGAAAGTAGAGAGGTTGTTTTCAAGAGATCCCCAATGAGCAATATAGAAAGCAGTCAAAGCACATAGCATGACAAAAAAACAAGAGTGAATTCCATAAATGGCTTAAAACAAGTGGTTTTTCATATTTAGTCCCCAAGAGTGAAGTCCTTGAAAGTAGAGAGGTTGTTTTCAAGAGATCCCAGCCAGCAATATAGAAAGCACATAGCACGACAAAAAAACAAGAGTGAATTCCATAAATGGCTTATAACAAGTGGTTTTCCATATTTAGTCCCCAATTCTAAAATATTACATTTGTGGCCCTCAATTTTTAAAAAACTATTCCATAATCAGTCCTTTGGGGATTATGTGAAAAAAAACATTTGGTCATATTTGGCCAAAAGGACTGTCAAGAAACCAATCCAACCAAAAGCTCAAGCTTGTGGTTGTGGCCCAGGAATGATTGTTATATACTCTAACACGCCCCCTCACGTGCAGGCGTGACCTCTTTGAGCCTTGCACGTGAAACCTTAATTTTTTCTTAAACTGGGTGGCGGTGAGTTTTGAACTCATTACCTCTTGGTCATCAAGGCTCTGATACCATGTTAAAGAGCATCCCACATCGGAAAAGTGTGAGGAAATTAATCGGTATATAAGCTCTTGTGTTGAACTAACTAATCGATTGGATTCAATCTTTTAATGTGGTTCAACCCAAGTGTCTTATTGCCCCAATCCAGTTGTCCATACCTCATCCTAAATTCTATCATGGTATCAGAGCAGGTTTTGGCCTACCTCCTTTGTCAAAGTGTCTGTCTAGATGTTCATTCCTAGCGGCCCGTTTGTTTTTAGCCCAGTGTTCCGTATGGAGTATGTACCCAACGACCTGTGGCCCGTTTAACACGATTGCTCGTCTGGAAGTCCATACCCAGCGGCTCGTGGTCCTTTATGTGTTGGCGCTCAAAAAAAAGTCAAGGGAATGGGAGTTCATTTGCAAGTGGTCAACTGGTTAGATTCAAAATGACCCAGTTGTCCACTTGAGGGGGAGTGTTAAAGAGCATCCCACATCGGAAAAGTGTGAGGAAATTAATCGGTATATAAGCTCTTGAGTTGAACTAACTAATCGATTGGATTCAATCTTTTAATGTGGTTCAACCCAAGTGTCTTATTACCCAATCCAGTTGTCCATGCGACCATACCCCATCCTAAATTCTATCAAGGACTAATTATGGAATAGTTTTCAAAAATTGAGACCACAAATGTAATATCTTAGAATTAGGGAGTAAATATGGAAAACCACATGTTATAAGGGACCGCCTACCCAAGCCTAGTAAAACTACCACCCACCCAACTACCATAGTCCTAGATCTCCACACACTCCTATCAAAGGTCATGTGCTCTGTAAGGGCTAGATGTCTTAAGTCTTGCCTAATCACCTTTTTTGAACTCTTCCTAGATCTACCCCTTCCCTCACCCCACCCACTATCATAAGCCTCTCGCATCTCTGCACTAGGACCTCAACGCTACGCTTTGTCACATGATTAAACCATCTCAATCTAGCCTTTTGCGTAGCTTATCCTCCACATGTGTCACTCCCACCCGTCCGGCCGTCCCCGAATAACCTCATTCCGAATCTTATCCAACATCCACATCTTATGTATCATATTGCATAAACTATTTAAGATGACAAGATGTATGGTACATTGGTACTCATCATTGCCTCATCTAACACTTTAAAGTACTTGTATTGTTTGTGCAAGGAGATGAGCTGTTTGCTGTCTTATACAAACTGTTTTGGAATACTATAAAATTATTTGTGTTGAATTTAACTATGGCTTCATCAGGATTGTTTACAGAGTAATTTTCAGAAATTTCCAGCATGTAATAGAATAGTAGATATCCTCTGCATTTTTTCCTTGCTAGTTTCAACATAGTTCTTTTTTGCAGAGACTGGAGTTTTTACCTGTCTTTGAATTCCCTTCCAGATTTCTCCTGAGGATATTATATGGGACAATGGTCCAGGAGGACAAGGCGTAAATAGAGCTTTTGGTCGTGTTAGTGCCCCACCAGGTGTGGGCAGAGGAAGGGGATTTACTAGAGCTCAGCACAGAAAGGATTTTCCACCATCACAGAATGGCGTGGCAAATAGAGGATCAGATGACATTCATTTACTTCACACCGATACGCTAGTTAAGGAGGTAAGGTGGTACACCATTTTAGGTGCACTGCTGGAGTGCTGATGTACATTTTCTCAAATTTCATTTTGCCTTTTAATGTTTTGAAGGTTGAGAGGATATTTGGTGCGGGACATCCTGATCCTGTTGAAGTTGAGAAAGCCAAAAAAGTGCTAAAGGTTACTTCTTCACCTACTCAATAGTTGTTTCCCTGACAAATCTCTGACTGTCGTACTTATACTAGTGGATTATTGATGCAGGAGCATGAGCAATCACTTATTGATGCTATTTCAAGGCTTGGTGATATTTCTGATGGTGAAAGCGGTATACTCACTCAAACTATTTTTGCCTCTTCTTTTTATCATTTATTGTCATACTACTATCACCATAGGGTCCAATCTCCATTGTTAATTTGGAATATTTGTTTTTCTTTACATTCAACGTCTCAAAGGGCATGCAGAGACATGTCTCATCATTGCTGCTTGGGATGTGTCAATATCCGAAAGACCTTGAATTTGGTAGTGCGCATCCCATTAGTGAATGTGCTACAAATTATGATGGCTTTTGGATCACTAACATTTGAAGTTCTGCTGTCAGCCAGTTGTGTTTTGCTTGCCGTTGACATGGACATAACCTTATATGTGATTCCCTTAGTTTGGATTTAGGTGTCCACTTTCTAAAATACTTCAAATATATGGAAGGGATGTAAGATAACAAGAGTATCAAAATTAGTTGTTTTTTCTATTGATGACAATAATGTTAATATGCTCTTTAGAGAGTAATTTCTTATAATTTTCTTAACTAAATATGGTATGTGGACGATCAACTCCAGGTGTGCTAAACAAGGGAAGTAGAAAAATTAATCCAGACCATAAGAGTATAGCATTATGATAAAAACAAAAGCAAGCCATAGATTGCATGTATCTCTAAATTAAGAAGGTTTTTTTCATGGATATGGCCTTGTTCATTTCACCTTAATCTTAACCAGAGTTTGCTGGAGTCTGGAGTTTAATACTGAAGTTTGAAGACTAGTATTTGGAACCTCGATCAAATATGCTATTAAACTAAAGAAATTTTTAATGAAAGTTTGAAAATGAAACTGAAAATCAGTAATCGAGTCTGGATTACTGGAATAAAAAGTTGAAAAGAACAAGGCTATGAAGTACATCATATCCTCTATTAATTTTGTGTACGACTTGTTTTGGACAATACTAAGCACTAATTGGGATCTATACTTTTTGCATCCAAATGAATATGGGTCTGTTCTTTTTTTACTTTGTGCTTATTGTTGTGCAAATTTCAGTACTTTTAAGTTTTAACTTCACTTTCAGTTGGCAATCAAAACTATGCTATTCAACTTTCACTCTATTCAAGTTCTGTAGAAAAGAACATAACCTACAAGTGACCTATGTGGCATCGATTCGAAAAGTTTGTTTAGAAAGTATTATGAGCATGTTGTTATTCTCTACATTTTCAGTTCTTGAACTCTGATTTTCAATGTGACAGATGAACATCATCATTTCATGCATGGGAACCCAATGGTGGTGGAGTGACATTTTACGGTGTTCTTAGGTAGTCAGACTTGTAGTTGAGGAAGAAGCTCTTTCGGTAATGGCATTGCTGTTTACAGTGTCAGTGTCGTTTAAATCGGATGCTTAGTAGTTGCTGAATGGCGACTTTGATCTCTGTGATTCTTGTAACCTTTGAAATGTAGGTTAACATGTAGCTGTGGCTCTGATTATTCCTTATAATTTGTATAAAAAAACACAATATTAATAATGGTTTTTATCCTGTTACAAATCATGTACAGAACTTGTGTTGGTGGTGGTGGACTTATGTTGATCAGTTTTTGTTTTACTCTTCCTTGAGAATTCAAAGAAGATTTTGCAGTTCCTAAAAACTTTGGGTTCTGGATCTTGTTTTTTCTGCTTAGTGATCTAAAATTGAGGTTGGAACCTGAATTCTGAAGGATGACATTCTAATACCTCTTGGTGGATTTCATTGGATAATGGGTTATATATGTTTTTAGTTCCTCTAAAATATGTGAGTTTTGTAAAATATGTGAGTTTTGTTTTTGGTCGTAAAATATTTTTTGTCTAAATTATCTTTACAAAAAGTTTATTTTGATAATGATTTTTATATGTAATTAAGAGTTTTAATTTGTTGACATAAAATATTTACTTCGCACTCAATAGCTTAGTTTTGTTTTTCTAATTAATTAACACAATTCTCATACCCAAAATTGTGTCCTTTATCAAATTACATCTCTAATTCTTAGAATATTTGGGAACGGCATATGTGTAATATGAGAAGAATATTTCTGGGCAAACCAAGAGGAAAAATGGGAAGAATGTTTTCGGATGGAGGAAATATTAAAAAGGAGATAAAAGATGAAACGAGAAAAATTGACGTGATACTCTTAAGAGTGAGGATGATAGGGATGTAGGTATACCATAAAATCTAACAAAAAACACTTTTTTGAGCCAAATGGATCCATAATTCCGTAGTTTTCAATTCCGTTTGTTATATTGGAAATAAGCACAATGTATACCATAGAACCATATGCTATAGAACCGATTGAAACGTATTTCCCATACATCCGCCGTGAGTACTTATTTACAAGAAATTAAATATATATTATTGATCAACTAAATATTTACTCATTTTTCTAAAAACTAAATATATTCAAAAATGAGTATTGAGTTATTATTCTACTACTCAGAAATGAGTTTTCTACTACCCCGGAGTAATAAAAAATGAATATTGTATACAGGTACATAGATACTCTGAAACCAGAGTTTGGGCCTGTGGCCGTGGAGAGTCTTACCCAATCGCGCGGCCATTCCCAAATCCTCTCCGCTCAGCCCCCCTATTCCGTATGATATTCATCGGCGGATTACCGTTCTCCACTAGTTCCGATGACTCATCTCCGCCTCAGGTAGTTTATGAGTCTGTTAGTGTTTACCTTCTCAATGGATTCTGCTAATATGTGAACACAATATTCTTCGATCAAGACATTGAGTAATGACGTGAACCACTCATTGACTGTAACATTCTAAATGGAGTAAATGTTTAATTTTGTGAATGCTTTGGAATTTACATTCGATATATTTGTATGTTGTGCATCACTGCATGTACATTTGCTTTGAAACCAACCAGACAAACAAAAGAACATAAAAATTTCATATCAGATCACATTTTTTTAGGCTGAAATAACATGTTTAATTTAAGGAAAATTCTTACGTGATCCTAAGGTCCATGTCATTCTACGGACCTAATTGCATTGATATCATAAAGGAATTGAGCCTTTTGCAAAAAAAGAATAGATTCACTTGCTAGCTCATGAAAAGTGTGAGAAGGTCCACATTTTACATGCGGACCTTAGGACCATAGAAGAACAACTCTTAATCTAGGTCTATTGTTTCTTGAGTTGCATTGATTTCAATATCTTCCCTACTTCATGATGAGCTGCTAGAAGGGTATATTTCACTGATGGTACCCGAACTTCGAGCGATATATGATTTTGGTACCTAAACTCTATTTCCTCTCGCAAAAATACTTGAACTTCAAAGAAATTTCACAAAAGTATCAAGTCACTTTGGGCGTATTTGTAATCTTACATATTTCTAATTTTTAGTTTTAAACCCGTCGTTTTTTCTTTTTCCTCAAATTCCCTCTCCTTTCATCTTCGGTGGCCCCACTTCCACCCGTTTTGGAGATGAAGGTGGAGAGAATACAAGAAAAATAAAAAAAAGGCGGGGTCAAATTAAAAAATTAGAAATATATAAAATTGTAATTAGGCCCAAAGTGACCTGACTATTATCTGGAAACCGGATTTAGGTACTTTTATGAAATTTCTTCAAAACTCAGGTATTTTTGCAAGGAGATAAAGTTTAAGTACCAAAATGATATATCACTCAAAGTTCGGGTACCATAGGTGAAATATACTCGTTGCTAGAAAGATTTCTTGAACTTTGTGGGCAACTGTTCAACATTGTTGCAACTCCCACTACAACAACATTAAGCGAGTTGGGTCGTTTGAAGAAGGCATTATGGTTACCTGGTCTTTAAGGCTGATGAACTTCTGGAGTGTTGGACTTGGCTAAAGAAGAAGTGCTCACTAAAGAAAGATTTTTTATGCTGTTGTGATTTCATGTAAATGAGAAATGTAAATTATGGTTTTACATCATCTCTGATGGAGCCAAAGATTCACTATTTTTTGGCCTTGGGTTATGATGGAATAAAGCAAAATGACTCTTTAAACTGTCCACGCTTCTTTTAATAGTGAAGTAACAGTTAGTCAATGCAACTTTTGATGCTCATCATGGGTCATCCGAAAACAGCCACTCTATGTTAAACCTAAGAAGCAAACCTCTGGACTTGCACCTTTATTTCTGGAAATTCTTGTATTTATTAGTTACTCCCTTTGTCCCAAAATAAACTTTCCATTTGGGTAGTCTCAAAATAAACTTCTCATTCCTTTTAAAGAATAGATTGGGCGGTCTACGTTAATTATCTTTAGTAGTCCTTTACATAAATTTCAACCAAACAATTTCACTTTTCCTTAAAGCTCTGTGAAAAAGCAAATGGGAAGTATAATTTGGGAGAGAGGGAGTATTATTTGGGCTGACAGTGTCCTAAAGAAATGTTTTGTTTTTGAATGATCTGGATTGTCTTTATGGATATGTACTACCACATCCATTTAGTTGTCACCCCTTAACTGCTTCTCTCTTTTTCCTCTCTAGAATGCAACCTTTAATAAGTGCATACTTGATGTAGTTAATCAAGATTCTCCCTGCAATTCTGAGAACAAGAGTTTTCTTGAGCAATTATATACAGTTTAAATTCTTGGAATTTCTGTTTCTTTTAAAGGCTAAACGTCACAGGCTTTCTATGGAAAAGAAGAACAAGAACATGATAAATTGGGTTTGGTTGAGGTCCCAAAAGTCCAAAAGTCACTGAATTTTTTTCTAAAATACTGCTTATATTCTTCAAACCATGAAGCCCCCTTTTATAGGAGAGTATAAAGGCCACACTTATACAACTATTATTAAATACTAATGGTTTAATACACAACAAATTAAGAATTTGACACTGAAAGGAATCCCAACCTACTAAGGAAAATGACATGCGTGTATGAGTTAATAATGAATAACAAAGCATCCTAGTAGGGTTTAGTCCAAAATATGAACTTTTGGTCCTAGTCATGTGTTGTGCGCGGTGCGGAAGTAACTGGTCTCCCCAGAAAATAACAACGTCAAGCTCCTGCTAATTAGAGAAATTTTTTGATGCATTCCAGGGTTACATTTGCTAGAATTGAAAGCACAACTGTTCACAGCATATTTCAGTGAAATAAATGCTGCATTATTTCATCGTACATCATGTTTATGACTGTTTATTCTTTATCTTTCATCATTATATTTGTTAAACAAAAGCTAATCTCTCAAGTATACTCAGATTTTTGCGTAGTGTTCACATCAGAAGACTTCTTGCTCTCCCATAAACGGGAAAAGTCGTTTCTTAACTAGACGTGTAGCAATTGTTTTAGCAAAAGTCTAGGATTTTGGGGATCTCAATAAAAACTCATCCTTCCATTTCCAATTCCTCTCAGTCTTTGTTTGTTCTTTGGTTTCCTTTAACGTTCTATCGTCCTTATTCTTGGCCTTAACACATGCCCTTTTTGTTACTCTAAGCAGGGAAAAGATATCTTGATGGCCTTAATGAATCATCCTGCTTTGATGTCTGCATCTTGTTCATTTAGTGCCATTCTGGAGAGAAAATTTTCTCTTTCCAATAATTCTCATTTGGTGGGAACAAGACAAATAAAATGGGTCTATGTTTTCCAAAGAGAATATGCAACTATCAACCCTTCACTTGTTGATGTAAGTTAAGAGTTATTATCTCTTTATTCTGCAACTGTACTTTAGCAGAATGGATTATTCAACCATTGATCCTTAGTGTTTACATTTTTCTTTCAGCTAAAATTCACCCTTTGTAATATTTGAAATACCCTTGTTTGCATTCCTCTTCTTGTTATAGTATTGCTTGTCAACATCCTTTCCCTAGTTGCAACCAACCTTTTATTTTCTATATGTTTTATCCTTTAGGTTCTTCATATGTAGAATGCAACCTTGCTGTTATATAAACAAATTTAAAGGTCATTCATTTCCAAAGCATTTGTACGCTATGTGCTTGGAGTCTAATTAACAATGTTGGTATGTGTGTTAATTGACCTCGAGAAGGCGTCTAATTAACAATGTTGGTATGTGTGTTAATTGACCTTGAGAAGGCGTACGACAGTTGGTGAAAGAGTATAGGGCTAAGAAGAAGGATCTGCATATGGTGTTTATTGACCTCAAAAAGGCGCACAACAACGACAGTGTGCCAAGGGAGGAGGTGTCTTGAGTAGAGAGGGATTTCGATCGCTTATGTTCGAGCAGTCACAGATATGTATGGCGGGGTAAGAACTAGGGTAAAGACGGTTAGGGGTGGCTCTGCGCCTTTCTCTGTAAAGATGTGTTACACCAGTGGTCTGCAGAGAGTTCAAGAGGAGGTCCCTTTGTGCATGCCTTTTGCTGACGATATAGTTCTCATTGACGACACCCGCAAAGGACTAAATGACAAGTTGGAGTTATGGATCCTTTCCCTGGAATCTGTCTTACACTAAGTAGGACTAAGGGGCTGTTTGGCAACTTCTGAATAGGTAAGTGCTGAACCAGTAAGAGGTTTGAATCATTAAGTGTTGAACCAGTAAGAGGTCTGAACCATTAAGAGCTAGTATATTGTAGGGGTGGGCAAAAAAACCGAACTAGCATGGTACCAAACCGGACCGTAATGGTACCGAACCGTTTTTAGTGTTTTTAAACGGGATTGATTTTTTTCATCACGAACCGAAACCGAACCGATATCAAATGGGACGGGACCGTGATACATATATTTAAAACCGATTATCACGGACCGAACCGTCCAACGCTATATACGGAGTACGTATCTCAAATAATTATGGAGTATTTGTCTACTTCATCTTACCGTATATAGAATACTTTGTATTTTATTATTCATTTTTAGACTTTCTCATTATTATTATTGTTATTATATTTATCATTACTATTAGCATTATTTTTTTATAGTTATTAGTATTCCGATATTATATGAATTGGGAAAAAAATTATTTTTTAACTTTGGACTCGGTATCTTTTATTCTTTATGTTTATGATCCGTTTAAATTTGAAATCAATACTTTTATTTAACAAACTTGTGCTTTTTTATACAAATTTATACATTAAATTCAATATTCTTTGAGTAATGTACATTCATTTTTTTTGGCACGATTTGAGCATGGGTATGGTATTGTACCGTTCCGTTTCAAAATGGAATGGTACCGAATGGTTTTGGAGTTCATCCCGTACCGATACTGAACCGTTTAAATAAGAGCGGTCCGTGATATGTTCCAGTAGTATCACGGACCATCACGGACCGCGCCCACCCCTAGTATATTGCTTAACTATTCAGAGGCAAATGTCTGATCAATTCAGATAAGAGGTCTTAACCATTCAGACTCTGTATAATATTTAACCATTCAGAGGCAAATGTCTGAGCCATTCAGACATCTGAACCATTAAGAGGCTGAAACAAACAGTCTGAACCATTAAGTGCTAAACCATTCAAACATCTGAACCATTAAGAGGCTGAAACAAACAGCCCCTAAGACTGAATACATGAAATATTGTTTTAGTGGCTGGGTGACGAAATCAGAGGTGGAAGTTAGGATTAGTTCCCACCCATTGCCTAAGATAGACTAGTTTCGGTATCTTGGTTCGGTAATCCAGGCAGATGGGGAGTTAGACGAGGATGTTGCACACCGTATTGAAATGGCTTGGGCTAAACATAAGTTGGCTTCAGGGGTTCCATGGGATAATAATATTTCAACTAGAATGGAAAGATAGTTCTATCGGTTTGTAGGCAGACCGGCTTGTTATATGGTGCATTGGTGTGGAGTGCGGGATGGTTAAAAAAGCCCACGCTCGTCAACTGCATGCTGTAGAGATTCAGATGTTGCGATTGATGAGTGTGCAAATGAAATTAGATAGGATTCAGAACGGGGTATTTGAGGACGGGTAGAAGTGGCACCCGTGGATGATAAGCTATGAGAACCTAGGTTTAGGTGATTTGGACATGTGAGGTGGCAGAGTGTTGAGGCCCCAGTGCGGAGATGTGAGAGGCTTACAGTGGTGGGAGGGAGTCTGAGACGGAGTAGACCTAGGAAGAATTGGAAGGATGTGATTAAACATGACCTAGGACTTCTTGCTCTTATCTAGGATATGACAATCGATATGAGCACGTGGAGAGCTGGGATTATGGTAGTTGGGTAGGCATTCTTGGCTTGGTGGTACTTTCTGCTCTGGTGTGCTTTTTATGTTGGGTGATTTCTGCTGGCTGTGTTTTTTGTTTCGTTAACATTAGTTTGCTCTTTGCTTCTTTTGTGCTTTGTGCTTTTTGTGTTTTATGTGCCTTTTGTGATCTTGTGTTGTTTGTATTACTCGAGCTGGGGGTCTCTTGGAAACGGCCTCTCTACTTTCAAGTAGGGGTAAGGTCTGCGTACACGCACCCTTCCCAGACCCTACTCTGTTGGGATTCAAGTGAGTTGTTGGTGTGACATTGTATCTATGCTCTTACTCTTTTCGTCGTAATATGTCCACTTATATATATTTTGAAGTGGGGGTCTCTTGGAACTTGGAAGCAACCTCTCCACTTCCAAGTAGGGGTAAGGTTTCATACTCACACCCTCTGTGACCCTACTTTTGTGGTATTTTACTGCATTTTTTATCGTTGTAATCATTTCTAAAGAATTTTTACTCGTATATTAATTCTCTGTTCTGACCGTATATGGATCATATTGTGTTGAATCCTGTAAGTTATTTAGTGTGTGCTTATCAATAATACCACAAAAGGGGCAGGTTAGTTTAAGTATTCATGCAGTGCAACTTATTTTTTTATTTTTATTTTCCTTTTTCTGTTTTGCACTCAATATTTACTTGTATGTCTGGAAGTTTCTGGTCATAATTTTGTTAGTGAACTTTTTCCTCTCTTACAGTCTAACATTTTCTTGTTGCCACGAGGAAGATGGTTGGCACTGATGAGGCGACGACGTGCGTAGGTCTTGTCATACGAAACCCTAAAAGTGGAATGTAAGGATCCAAATTCACTTTAGGTTGGAGTTTCATGCAACTGTGTGATTTAGGTAGCATGGGTGATAAGGAGACAATTGATAAGAGGAAATAAATAACACTGATGGTAAACCTTTTAGATTACGATGAACAAACATTTATGTTGAACATGTGTAAGGAAACTTACTGAGCTAAGGCTCACCTGATGAATATTTGGAAGTATATTTATGTTTAAGAACTTTATCATTATGCTTTTATTTTAATATTATATTTTTTTTAAATGTAAACTATCTTGCTATCTCATTTCTCTGCCATGTCCGTGTCCTAGTTTTCATGAATTTTTCTTATCCTTGCGTCCATACATGTCATGTCCCTATGGCTGTGTCTGTGTCTATGCTTCTTAGGACTGAAGTACATTTCTACCTTAGCGATATTTCCATATTGGTTGCAGGATCTCCGTTGCCCATGTAGATTCTCCAGATACTGTTGAAATTGGCATAACCCAGATGCTCTCCTCCATTGCTGATAGCAATGATTCCATCTTGGATGTATTTTTCTTCCTTCTAATGGTCAAAGTCTTATTTTTATTAACCTCTGTAATTTTTCTCATGAATCTCTAGTTTTACATGTATGTCATGTGCAGGTGCATCTAATTGGTGGTTTTAATGATGTCTCACATCAAGTCAGCACCAATTTCTCTTATTGTGTGTTTAAAGTTTTCATTAGATGAGACAGACGTAAGGGCAACATCATGATGCTGATGTAATCTGTTGGGCATTTTTGCAGCCTGAAAGTGGTGTTAGAAAAGATAATGAAAAGTGGGAGGGATATTCCTTTCCTATATGCTCCAAGATAGTTGACATTCTGGGGAAGAGTACCAATAGTTTCAATATTGTAACTCTGCATGTTCTTGATTATAACACAATAAAGGATTCAGAAGGAAATGCACGACCAATGTTCCACGGTTTCCTGGTAATCTGAATATGTAAGGGCGGTGAATCTCTGCTAGTTTCACTCTTTCACCATGGATGTGCTCATATGTCTTTGCTAGGTGGAAACTGCCACTGGGTCAATATTTCCAGCAACCTTTGATGGAACTACTAGATGTCCAGATGAACTCATTAGGAGAATTCGAGTGACATCTTCATTTGAGGACCCCAGTTGGAGAGGTAGACTGTTAGAGACATATGACACTAAGTCGGACAAATTCATTATTGCTCCTTGCACTTGGTAAAACCTCAACTTTGTTTAAATACTTGATCTCATATTTTTCTTGTATGGACACAACACGCTTTTTAATAAAGTAGAATTTTGGTAGTTGAGATTTGTGCTGAGAGAGAAATAATATCCACCACACAATTCTTTAAACAATTTTCTCAAGGGAAAGTGGAAGATAATCTGGGATATCCATAAAAGGAAAACATGAAGAAAATTATGTGATGGTCTGATTGATCAAATTAACTTTAGCTCAGTTATCTTGGGAGAAAGCCATGTTAGATATTGGTGATGGCCACTTCTGTGATATACCTTTTAGACTTTTGACTGTTTAGTTTGATTTCTTTATTGAATTTAATTATTACTGAGCTGGATTTTTCCCTTAATATATGTTTTTTTTGCTCTTTTTCATTGCGAAGGTCCTCGCGTCAGAAAAAGATTGCTCAGTGGCTGCAAAGTCTATCTGCTTCAGAAATCCTTCGCATCTGTTCCACTTCACCTTCTGTCGAGCCTCCTGACTTCGTTGATAATTTAAGAAGGTAAATATGCTTTTGTTTTTTCTAGGTAATGATGCATTAGCTATTTGGTTATGTTTAAACCTCTTTATTCTACATGAGTGCGCAAACATCAAGGCTATCATGCAACGCCTTAATTTGAAGAGGCATTTCAGAAAACAGAACTAGCCCAGTGTATGGACTGGGAAAGTGACTCTCATATTAGACTAAATAGCTAGTCTGAGATTCATATTTTGAATGTTCTAGTGGCAAGAGCTTCTAGAAATTGACTCTCATATTAGACTAAATACCAGTCACATATTTTTTCAAGTTGCATTTTGGGTAGTTGTGTCATTTTACCAGTGTTCATTCAACAATGCCTTGTTCCATACATCACGATTCTAATTAAGATGGATGGTAATAATTGGCTTTCTAATAAATATAGTAGAAATAACCAAACTTGAACTAGGTGCAATAATCGTGTTATTGAAACTGAATTACCATTATACGTATTTGCTTGTCCCCAAGGGAAAGTTCAAATTCCAACCATATAAATTATAAGTATGGTGGCAATAAAACTTTGGGGAAATAAGCTTTACATGATGCCTATTTGCTTTAATAAACTGAATTACCATTATAAGTATGGCGGCAATAAACTTTGGGGAAATAAACTGAATTACCATTATACCTATTTGCTTTACATGATGCATGAAAACTTTGGGGAAATAAACTTTCCATGTTTATGGAATGAAAATTTTCTGAAACTAAATAAGTGTTCAGGAGTTGCTTTCATTTTAAGAATGCATTAGTAGGGACTGAAAAGCACTATGTCTTACCCTTTAATCTCCATTCTTGAGTGGTGGCATTCATTGGGTGTTAAGTTTCACAAAAAGCTGATGTTGTGCTTGTCTTGATTTATATAAGGAAAGGCTAAAGCATAAGCTAGAAATATGAAAAAAAAAGTTAGAATCTCCATGGTTAATGATTAATTGTAGCACTGTTAAAGATGAAAATCCAAAAATGTGTTGTTATTTTGAGTGTTCCATTTGTCTCCAAAAGAAAAAGATGTAATTCATATCATTTCTCTCCCCAGCATATAAATTTTAACCACACAATTTCATTTTTCTTAATATTAATATTAGTCAATTGTGGAGACTTTTTTTGGACAGAGGGAGTACTTATCTAAAGTAATGCTAATAATAAGATAGTCAACCATAAATGGTTATTTGTAAATTGCATTGGTTTATCAACTATTCAACTATTCTCATTCCGTCCATCCAAAATAAACGTCTCATTTTATTTTCGGGAAAGGAATGTGTGGTTCAGATCATTTCTCTCTTGTCTAAGTAAATTCCAATCACACTTTCCACTTTTTAATATTTTTCTTACACTACGTGAAGTCAAATTGAGACAACAAATGGTGGGAATACATGGTTTATTGGCTATCTTTTCTTTCCCTATGGCTTGGGGTCACTATTCTTCTTTTAATCCAATATACTCAAGTGAACACAAACACTTTGTAATATCGCATTAACGCTTGGGGAAATTGACTATTTCTTTCTTTTTTTCTTTCTTTCTTTCAGACAATGGGACTATTTGATCAAACACCCAGATTGGCGAGAAACATTTCCAGCTAAACACCCCCGAATATTTGTGAGAACAGCTGATGATGGGGGTTGGGACAGGCATCACCCCGCGAGACAAAATGGTCATATTCGTGCAGCCAAGTGAGCGCTTCCTTTTCACGCTGTTTCAGAATCATATGTATTGTTGTGCCAATCTAATCATCCAATTTCACACCCAATGTTACTGTGAATTTCTCCAATCCAACACAACCGGGTTAATCGTCCATGTAGAGCAAAAATTGTGGGAATTTTCAGGTGGTATAAAAAGCTCAACTCCATCTTTACCTAGTGTTCCAACATTAGAAAGTTGGAAGAGGGAGGTTTCTAGTTCATGAAAGATCTAGGAAAAATGTTGTTGAGGGTACTGTTTGTTTTAAGTTGAAATATGCCTTAAGAGATTTTTCAGATTTTAATTAGGGGCATTTGACCCCTTTAGTTTGAATGTATTTGTGCTATTTTCCTCCTCTTAAGGGGTATCATGTTCTTGGCCAAGATATGCCCTATTCCTGTTACTCTTTCTAGCCTAAAACTTGACTTTTTTTCCTCGAAATGTCCTTAAAAGACGTAGTTAAACTTACTCTTACTCAAAAGAGGTATTCATAATTTTGAAATTATTATTGATGTTTTTTTTCGTTTGAATATTACTGAATGTTACGGAGTAATTTTTTTGTTGTTCCAAGATATGTTTGTGGTTATGAATTTAGGGATTTGGTTTGTTTTTACTCCGTATTTGTTTATTTATTGCACTTCCCAAAAGTTCAAATTATTGAAAAAAAAGTTGGAATGGTGAAAAAATCAAGACAACATAGGGAAGATCTTCCCAATAAGGGAGGTATGGCAATGGTGTGTGATATTGTTCATTGTGCGCTATTCTCCACAGCTCATTAGAACCGGAATGAGTTAATTGATGGCAAGGGTAGAGTAGTCATTTGCATAGTTTGCTCTTATCTAAAATGGAATACCGGACGAATACTCAAAGACGGAAAGAGTATTTCGCAAAATTTATATACACTTTCTTAACGTGATAGCGGATAGTGTTCTACTTCCTTATGAGGGTGGACGATATATTGCTAAGAGTATCCCACATCGGAAAAGTGTGAGAAAAATAATCGGTATATAAGTTCTTGAGTTGAACTAACTAATCGATTGGATTCAATCTTTTAATGTGGTTCAACCCAAGTGTCTTATTACCCAATCCAGTTGTCCATACCCATCTTAAAATTTATCATGGTATCGGAGCACGCAGGTTTTGGCTCACTTGGCGGCTCGTGGTCCTTTAGGTGTTGGCGCTAAAAAAAAGTCAAGGGAATGTGAGTTCATTTGCAAGTGGTCCACCGGTTAGATTCAAAATGGTCCGGTCGTCCACTTGAGGGGGAGTGTTAAGAGTATCTCACATCGGAAAAGTGCGAGGAAATTAATCGGTATATAAGTTCTTGAGTTGAACTAACTAATCGATTGGATTCAATCTTTTAATGTGGTTCAACCCAAGTGTCTTATTACCCAATCCACGCCACAACTCCCTATGCCAACTTCCCTTATCAAAACCATACCAGTACTACCTTGTTAGTTCCATGATGTTGGCTAATCTTTTGGCAAAATAGAATCCCATATTTGTTAGGTGTTTTACTAGGTAGAAACCTCTATTTGTTAGGAGAGGTTTATTTTATTTAGATTTCTAGAGTTGCTGCAGTTTTCGAAGTTGACACAGAAGATGCTACAGCACGATGTTGCAACACACTGTTCGGGATCAGAGGTCTGAGCACGGGATTTTAAGCTGCAATCTGAATTAGAGACCTATTGGGATTGTGATTACATGATAATAACTCCAGTTGTACATGCTAAGGAATCCCAACTCTTTAGGCTACTTGTGGATCAAGATTAAGGAAGTGGAGTTCAAGCCAACTTCTACTAACCTATTCCTACTAGGATTGTGTCAAGAGAAGCCTATAAAAACACAGTAGGTCCCTGGGAATTACTTGGAGCGATTGAGAGGGAAAACAAAGAATATACGCTGATGTAGAGCGTTCCCGTCGCGTCCCGGAGCTTCCCATGCGTGAAGAAGGTTACGATCTACATGAAGGAGGAGATCTTCAACGCCAAACAGATCGTGACGTCCAGGAGATGAATTAGAGCTGAACGAGTGGGCTGCCAACACGTTTGTCCTCGTGATCTCGGTGGAGATGTGATAGCCAAAGCGGATCTGAACAGAGTTTGGGTTGGAAATCCTAGATTAGAAGTTTTGTCATAGCAATTCGGAGAAGGGTGTCTCATCATGTTGTTATGTACCGGTGTAACTTGCATCTAGTGATTTAGTGGAGGGCTATTACACAAACGTGGGCCCCGCAGACTAGGAGAATTTGCTCCGACTGCGTAAACATATCTGGTGTTATTTTTTTACGCATTTTATGTTTACAGCATTCTGCCCAGTAGACGCTGTAACGTCCTCTGTGCCATCTTCTTCTGTGTGTGCCTGTGACAGAGAAGTGTTGTAGCACACTGTCTGTCATCTATTACTGTGACAGTGATGCAACACCTTTTCTGTAGCATAGCTGGTTGATTTGTTTGCATAGCTTTCAATTGGTGATTTCCGCTGCGCCCCCACGAACTTACAATCCTCTCCTAACACCCCTGCCGACCAGCCTACAGCCTCTACCCAGCCCCCAGCTATTGCCGAACAGCCCTCTGCCCTTGCCGACTTCACACCCGCCGTCACGCCGTCCGCCATCCCGGCTGCTTCGCGGCCTCAGCGTGTTCGGTGTGCCCCTAGTCGTTTGTTGGATTATGTGTGTAACATTGTCCATTCTGATGCCTCCATTATTGATTCCCCTGAAAAATCTGTGTGCTCTGGAACTTGGTTTCTTCTCACTAACTTCGTAAATTATGAGAAATTGCATGACAGGTACCGTGGTTTTCTAGCCGCTCTTACTTCTACAGAGCTGCCCACATCTTTTCGAGACGCCATTCAACACGCAACATGGCGTGTTGCAATGCAACGGGAGATAACGGCATTGGAAGCTAATCATATGTGGGATACTCTTAACATATAGATGTGCTAAATACAATTTGGGGCAAAAAAAGTCTAAGTGGCAATTTCATATAGAGGGTAGCCCCCACCCATTTGGTATGAAACCAAACCGGTAAGAAAGTCTAAATATTTGTCGAGCATATTGCATCTCTTTCTCGTCTTTATTTATCTATATTGCATCTCTTTCTTTTTAAATTATTTAAAAATTGATTTTAGTAAGTAGACGGATTAGTATATGTACACCCCACATAAAATAAGAAAAAGTCTAAGTTAATGAAATCTGATGTGATCCCGATTTGGAAAAAAGAGATGGTATGATGAGTACTCCCTCCGTCCCCCAGTTTGTATATTAAAAAATTATTAAAACTAAACAATGCTACGGAGTACTCGTATTAGATATCATTCTCAAAATGTTAAAGCTAAGCGGTGAAATTGTTTCCAAATGGGCACTACTCTAACATTCTTTTTCAAGTAGAGAACAACCCATTTTTGCCAAGTTCATATGGGTTACCACTTGCAAAATGAATTTTCTCATAGTCTCATCCCTCCATACCAAAGGTTTGAAATGAAGGATCAACATGTAAATGACCACACACCATTGAATGAAGCTTTGAGAAGAACAATAGGGTTAAACGTGGCCGGGCTATGGGACACTAAACAATATTCACGGCTTATTAAGAATGAACTGCTAGATAGACAAACAGATAAATGTAGTGGGTTAAAATATGTTCTAATATCATGATGGAATCATATGAATTATAATTGAAGTATGAGATGCTCAATTAAGCTATAAATCATTATTGGGTTAAAACACATTAAAAAGATTAATTGAGATTTTAAATGTCGTGAACTTAAAATATAAATTTTATTTAGGAATGGGCGGGTGAGTGGTAACTGGTATGGCCATAGTGGGTGACAAATGTCAGGTAAGGAATGAATTTGTTTAAGCAGTTTTCACCAGATACATACAAACATCCCAAACCGGAAAAGCTTTAGTGGTGAAAATGATGTACTCCCGTCCCTTAACTGTGTACCACGAATTATAGAAAAAAAATATTTAGTTATACTATAAATTTAGTAAAATTGGGACTATCTTAAAATAACTTTAAAATATCAAATTTTTATAATATTTAGTTATCTTAAATTATATTTAATTCGCAGTAAAAAAGTATCACAATTTGACAAAAAAAGTTAAACTGTAACAATTTTTTAAGAATAGAAGATGTATATATATTTGTATGCATATGTGTGGATCATCCCACAAAGCAGAATCTGACACTGCATCAAAAGGGATGCAACTTTAGTGTAATCTCTCAACTTTTTTGCCTTTTTTTCCTTTACAAAACCACACAAATCTTAACCTCTAAGATACCTATTACACACCCTTTCCTTAATCATGTCCTATTCCTTCTTTCATGGGTCATTTTCCACTTATTATTTTTACTTAGTTTAGCTCAATCTTCATGCTTTGCACAAACACAAACCAAAATCTTACAGTGCATCAAACGGGATGCTTTTGCATATATATATGTTATTTTTATTTTGGAGATAAAAGCTATATTTTGCTCATATTTTTGGTGTTTTCTTTTAAATGATTATATATTTCCCTTTTAATTTTATCCCTCTTTGTCCCTTAATATTCGTAATCGGGACAAAACAGAACAACTTCGGATAGTCCTATTTTGTTATTATCCGAAATTAGATATAAAAATATAAAATACATAAGCGGGAGGCAACCCACTTTGACTTGGAAATAATGAAAAAATGGTCTATTTATTTATATTTTTTTAAAAGCCAAAAGAATAAGGAAACATTAAAAAATGTTACAACATACGTCAAATGTCAAGATTATAAGCTTCATAAAAACTATGAGCCACAAACTAGGGTATTTCGGTCCTAGTCCATTTTTTAAAAAATATTCGAATATGGATATTTTTTTATATTTATTTTGGGAAAAACACAAATTGTGATACTTTTTGTGTTATATCATCATATACATTAATAAATAAATAGACATATACATATATAAGGGACAAGGGGACGGAACCGGAAAATATTTATCTGTCTCGGTCCTGTCCCATTTTAAAACAATTTAGAACATGTTTGGGACAAAGTTTTATCATCCTTGACAAAATGGAACATTACACGGATGGGACCGAGATATTTCGGATCGGGACAATGATTTCAGAATTCTTGCCCACTCTTACTTTCTCCATTTAATTTAGAATCCGTTTGGCGAACGCATGAGGCATTGGTTTTGATATCTCTCGATATGAAATACTTTTTATAGGTATTTGGTGTAATATAAAGATCAGAGCACTCAAATTTGATATCTCTACCCATCACATTTGGGAGGCTTTTGGTAAAGCCTAACTTTCTATAAAAGCTAGTAGTGGGGTGTCATCACATAACCCATTATTCTGATTCATAACATTCATCACCACCAGAAGCAAGCAATATACTCTGTGCCAATCAATACAATCTTTTCAGAGATCACAACAAAAAAACCATAAATCATACTATGGCTGCAGATTATAGTCATTCATCATCATCTTCTTTTCAGCCTCACCTGTGCTTCTTCATAGCCACACTCTTCATGTTCATGGGCATCACATGGTACATAAACTATGAGTCCATACTTGAGGGGGTGGTGGACCAGATCAAGCTCCTCCTGATGCTCTCCCCCTTGCTCCTCCTCCTCGCCCTCCACCTCTTCTCCAAGCTCCAAAACAGGTCTACTCCGCCGCTCCTCTTCTCCTCCTTCTTGCCCCTGCCCGACGAGACGGCGGGCCCCGCCTCCCGGGAGGGTGGTTCTTCGACCCCCTGGGGGGTCGGGCTCCTCCTCGTGCTTCTCCTCTTCATGGTCTCTTACCAGTCCGATTTTCGCGAACGGTGGTTCCCGCTTTTGTGGAGGTGATATGATGATGGTCAACGCATGGGTGCCAAGGGGGTAAGACTCGAGTTCGATTCCTGACAAGTTGTGGAGGTGATATGATGATGGTCAGTGACAACTGCACTGGAGTGCAACTATGCTCAGCATAGCGCCTAGACTCCACTCTTTGCCACCATACCAATCTGCAATTAAAGTCTAATTTACCTCTTTTCTATGACTGTCCGGCCGGGTGTGAGGGATCCATCCTTTTTTTATAGATATTGTGTAAAAGTAGTTCAATATGCATCTCTTGTTAGTTTCTTGTCCTCGGTTTCTTGTTTTTTTTTTTTTTGTAGCAAATATGTGAGACTAATAAATTGAAATCGAAATTAAGTTTTAGTTGCTTCTATTTTCATTAAAGTTTGGATAATAAATACTCCCTCCGTCCCCAATTTGATTACAAATTGATACTACCTTCGTCCCGCTATATTCGTCCACTTTTGATTTTTGGAACTGTTCATCTGAGCACTTTGACTCATCAAATTCTCTCAATGTGTAAACCTAAATATAGTCATGTGTGATCTTGTTTGATTTGTCTTAACATATAGATTATTAATATATAATTTTTATAATTTTTTAATATACAAATTACAAGATAAAATAGATTAAAGAAGTGTATTAGATAGTGTGTAAAAATGAAAGTAGACAAATATTCTGTGACGGAGGAAGTATATCGATAAGATATAAAAATTACATATTAAAAAACTACGTCAAAAGTTCTATAAAACAAGAGGTGACAAGAATATTTTATTTTATCAAATACTTAATGAAATCCCGTAAACAAACAAACGTTATCGAGAGGAGAGAAAAAAAATTGTAATCTATTTCGGACGGAGGTAGTATAACAATACAAAGCCACGCTTCGTGTATAACTATTCCTCTCATCCCAAAAAAATTTTACTCCTCCCGTCCCTAAATATTTACAACATTTGTTTTTTTGTACGTTTTCATTCGTTATAGCAGTCGCGGGAACTTTTGTTTATTTCTACGTTTTCATTCGTTATTTGATAAAATAAAATATTTTTGACATCTCTTATTTCAAAAACTTTTCATGTAGTTTTTTGATATGTAAATTTTATTTTTTATTTCTATACCAATATGTAAATAAAATGAATTGAAAAAACTTGATATTTTACTTCGGGAATACAAGTGTGACAAATATTTTGGAACGGAGGGAGTACATTATTTTTGGACGTCATAAAACCTAATTTAGACTGACTTTAATTCTTGAACATGTGACTCAAAATATTTCTCTATTGTCCAAATAGAGTTTAATCATATATGCATCTTTTGTTTAATGCTTTTTGTAAATTTTGTTATTGATTGCATCTTTATAAAATGTTTTTAGGAGGAAAGGGGTATAAGTGATTGATTGATATACTTACAAATACTTTTTATGTCCTATAAAAATGTTCCATGTTTAATTGGACATAGAGATTAAAAAAATAAAAATGTGTTATCAAAAATGGTGCATAAGAGAAAAAAATAAAAGAGTTACCATTTTTTAAAGTGAATAAGTAAAAAAATTTTTGAGACTGGTGAGAAAAGAAATATGAAAGTTTTCTAAACAGAGTATATACTAGAGGTAATACTTTAGACAAAAGAGTGATGGCTGGTATACAAAGTAGTGGGAGATAAGAGGATCCTTTCTCCCATACATAAAGTGTGTAATTGAATAGATTTATTCTTTGTCATAGAATTCAATTTATCTCTTCTCAGGTGACTATCTAACCCTTTTTGAAAAGCCCTTGGGATGGGGTTCATCCTTTTTTTTGTAATTGAATGTTTGGACTTAATGTATCATAGACTCAGTTGGAAAACTATATATTTACACCCCAAAAGAATTGTTTAAAGTCAAAGAACTCTTCCGACCCCACCCAAAAAAAAAGAGATTACGGAGTATAACCCAACTTCCAGAGTCTCTTAGATACCAGCCCGGACAGTAAGTCGAAATGAGAGAATGAGCTTTAATCTCAGTATGTTTAATAGAAAGTGACTAAGTGAGACCTGCCTCTAGTACGTGCAAGAATCTTATGCTTATCATGATCATTTTTTTCATCGTTGTCAGAAATCAAACCTGTATAAATCTCTTATAACAATATGCTCTCGACCAACTAAGCTATGCCCCCGGCACAACTAATTGAGCAATTGGTGAAATTTGTATTTTGGATAGTACAATAGTATTTAACTATTTATGTCTTTTTCCAAGTAATCAGAATTGGTTTAGGATAACTGGACAAAACGATCTTTCAAAATGTCGCTGAAACATTTTGTTTAGCATTATACCTATAAACAAACACTGCCTTTCTAGAAAGACGAAAAAAGTTTTAAGTACTAAATTGGAAAAAATATACTCCGTATGTTTTAGTACTATTTAGTGCAAATTTCACAAAAACAATATACAATTGAGAATTGATGCTTCCTTTTATATAAACTTGACCTGGGATCGAAGTTCAAAACTTCTTGCTAAACAAAGGAAGATCTGTTCTTATCAGAATGATAAAGTGCATGTTTGGTTGTGCCCTCAAAACTACTATAACATCACTTTTGAAAACTATAAAACATCAATTTAACTCAAATTGCAGAATAAAATGCATTGCTTACATTCGCCCACATACTTCGTGAAGTCAAACCATGAATATTATTCAACGATGTAGGGAGTATACAAGGTTCAAAGGAATACAAACAGGCAGAGAGCTATGGTTTTTATTCACAAACCATTGTACACTATCCATTCTTATTAAATACCAGAAAATGTCTAACATAAACAGAGTTTAATTCGAAGGAAACCAGGAAAATAACCCAAACCCATCTTAGAAAATGATGTCTTCTTCGTCTTGGTGCGAAATACCTGTTGCCAAAGACATTTCCTGCGTGGCCTTCTCCTTGGCAAATTCCCTGGCAGAAGCCATCTGCTTCTCAATTGCTTTCTTCTTGTAGCCTTGTATCTTCTTCAGCCTAAAGAAGTCCTCTCGTTCCAGCTCGTCCAGTTCCCCCTTGATGTAGTTGATGGTGTTCTCCAGCCTTGGCTTCACCACATTCTCAAGGGCATTGACCCTTCGATTCGTGGTCTTGATCGCCTCGTCAAGGGTGAGAAATGATGTTTGGAGGGATGCAAGCTCAACTAGCAACTCGATTGCTTTCACATAGGCAACACGGCATGCCTGTACCTGTTGCCCACCTCTGGCTAATCCTGTCAAGTCGTTCTTCGTCTCTCCTTCAGAGAAATACTCAAACTTTGGGAGCTTGACACCGGCAATGTTTTCTTGGCGCGACCGGACTTTGAGCGTGGCACTCTGAACGTTTTCCAGAACAGTGTGCTTGATGTTGTCGCCAGCTGAGTACTTGGCCTCTGTCAGAGCAAAGGAAGAGCTCTTCATGATCTCGCCCATTGACTCTTTTGTTGAAACGATTTTCTTGAGGATTTGCCTGAACTTCACGGTGAGAGCATCACTTTTCTTCTTGAGTAACGCATGACCTCTTGTAGCACCAACAAGGCGAGCTTTCATGACGCCAAGCATTGTGACAGTAGGAACCACATTTAAGCGTTGGTTTTGCCCGGCCATTTCTGCCATATTCAAGGAAAATATCAGTCCGCATCTAATCAATTTCATCTTTTCTTCAACCCATCAAACCAAGTAATACAATACTACAAATATATAAACTAGAACGCATGTGCATAGCACTATTATAACATTTGTCAATTTATAACACAAAATCACAAGGTGTATAATAATTATGACAAGTAGTCCAGTAAGCTCATATAATGATGAAGAAAGTTGGTGCAGTTTAAGAAATTTATTAATCATTTCAAAGATGGGCAGAAAAGACTCTTTTAGCTCCATTCGCAAAAATGACTCTTTAGCTCCATTGGCGAAAATGACACTTTTAGCTCCATTGGCAACAAACAGAAAAAAAAACAAGTTGGGATCCCAGCTCTAGCTCTCCGGTCGGTCAGTCTACCCTCATCAGGACACCCATCATTATTTAAAAAACAAAAAATTAAAAACAAGAGAAATTAAAGAGCTTTCACCCCTTGAGGGCAAGACCCTATCTAATCTTCTGCCACAGCCACTTTCACTAGAATGGTCAAACATTTACATCCACACCATTGTCACCCTCTTCTCCATCATTACTCCTCTCTGTAGTTTTTTTGGGGAGGAAGAAATTCTTAAAGAAGAAAAAGAAAACAAAAATCTGCTTATAGAACGAGTTGCTTACGATGTATGTGTGAATAGTGTAAAAGAAACAGATTGACTATCTGATATCATCATCACTGGGTAGCTGTAACAACTACAGTAATACATCAAACCAAGTAATACAATACTACAAGTAACTAAAACACATGTGCAGTCTTGTCTAATCTGATTCGAATAAGAATAAGTAATTGGGGGAGCATGGTACGATAGCTTGTACCGATACTGTACTAAATATTTCGGTTCGTTATGGGATTTTACGATTTTACGTCGTACTCGTACCGATCCCGATTTCAAAATTTTGGTATGGTTTGGGATGGTTCATATCGGTTTTGGTACAGATCAGGATGAATACATACACACTTAGTTTAAACTTTAAAATGCCACAAAACCATTTATTTTTAAAAAATCGAAAGTATATTTAAGTAAAGAAACATTAAAAAACTAAAAAAAACAAAATATTAAATATAAGAAATGCTTATTAAACTTAGTTTATATTTCACAAACTAAAGTTAACACATGTGCATTGCACCATCATAACATTTATCAAGTTATAACACAAAATCATAAGGTGTATAATAATTATGACAAGTAGTCCAGTAAGCTCATATAATGATGAAGAAAGTTGAAGCAGTTCAAAAAATTTATTAATCATTTCAAAGATGAGCAATTGGGCAGAAATGACTTTTTTAGCTCCATTGGCAAAAATGACTTTTTTAGCTTCATTGGCAAAAATGACTCTTTTAGTTCCATTGGCAACAAACAGAAAAAAAACAAGTAGGGATCCAAAACCTTAGCTCTCCGGTTGGTCAGTTTGCCTTTGTCACCCACCCATCATGATTTTTGAAAAGGAAAAAGAAAAAGAAGATAAATTAAAAAGCTTTCACCCCTTGAGGGTACAACCACATTTAATCTCCTGCCACATCCACTTTCAGTAGAGTAATCAAACACTTACATCCACAGTTCCACACCACTACCTTCTCCACTATTAGTCCTCTCTGTAGTTTTTTTGGGGAAGAAGAATAAGAAAACCAAAATCTACTTACATCACTTTAGGATTCAAGCAAGCATTTAATGGTGGATCCAGGAATTTTTTTCGCTGGGGGCATTAAGTAAATTAAAGTGAAAAAAATAAAATTTAAAAACAAGAGACAATTAAATAGATAGAACATACTTCTTACCATTAAAATTAGATAAATGGAATAAACTTTTTTACTAAATCTATGTCCAAAAATTAGAGAAAATTATTTAAATATATCAATTGAGAATTAATATATTTTTAGAGACTAGAGTCATCATTTCCTATGTTTTGGGACAATTATAACTTTATAATTAATATTAATCAACATAATAAACAATTTCATTTTATAGAAAACTGATATATAAAAACAAATTATCCAAAAGGTTTCACACATTACACATAAACCTAATTTTCAGATTTATCTAATTATTTAGATCATAATTTAAAAAGGAAAGAAATTATTTGGAAATACCTGAAATTTGTACTTGTGCGATTTTACAATTGTGCTATAGTGGATCGAAGGATTGGAGCTGTGGCGGACTGGCGGCGACGCGGCGGACGGACGACGGCGGTGCTCGACTGCGGTGCTCCTGTTCGGCTTTTCAGTTGATCGGCCTGCTCCTGCTGCTCGGTTTTCGCAAAAGCCAAAGGGAAGGGGAAGTGTAAAGGATAATTTTAAGGGAGTAGATCTAATTTTTGGGAATTTGGACAATTGGGTCACTTTTGAAATTGGGTATTTAGCCTTTAGATAATTACTACCTCCGTCCCGCTATATTCGTCCACTTTTGACTTTTAAAACTGTTCATCTAAGCACTTTGACTCGTCAAATTCTCCCAATGTGTAAAAGCCTAAATATAGTCATGTGTGATCTTGTTTGATTTGTCTTAACATATAGATTATTAATATATACTCCGTAATTTCTATAATTTTTTAATATACAAATTAGAAGATAAAATGGATTAAAGAAGTGTATTGGATGGCATGTAAAAATGAAAGTGGACAAATACTCTGGGACGGAGGGAGTAATTGGTTTGGGCCAATTAATGGATTGGGGCAGATTTTTTTTATTGGGGGCAATTATATATAAAAATTAAAAATACATACATACATACATATATATATATATATATATAAAATTCACTGGGGGCAGTTGCCCCATATTCTATAGGGTAGATCCGCCCCTGCAGCATCTACTATCATATGGAATGAGTTGCTTATGATGTATGTGTGTATACTCTAAAACAAACAAATAGACAACCAGATACCATCATCACTGGGTAGCTGCATTAACAACTACTTCGACCCAGGCCACTTGCCTGCAGTCTGTAATCTCTCTCTATCCCTTCCTTTCTTTTTTGATTGCGATGGTGGCACATCAGAGGTCTCATGAAAGAAGATTCTAATGTTTTTTTCGTTTGTTGCTAATGGAGCTAAAAAAATTGGCGTGTTTTAAGAAATTAATTAATTAGTTCAAACTAGGCATCTGTTGCCAATGGAGCTAAAAAAGTCAATTTTGCCAATGTTGTAGCTTCTTCTGGTAAATGACGGACTACATAAAAAATGGCACATTACACTTCTCTTGATTCTTACTTTCTATGGGGCTATGAGCCGAAATTTTAGCAATACATCAAATGTCTAACAAAAACATCTTTTTGTTCTTATAGGGCAAAAGTTATGACTCCGTATATCTTCCCTCCTCCAAGCACCACCGGAGTTGGAATTAGGTTGAGTTTATTGTTGTTTTCGTTGTGGTAATCATTTCAAAGATAACTCAAATGCCAGTGTTCCCAGAACTTAGTACTTGTCATTCTGATCTGATGAACTATATAAATGGTTTAACTTAGATTTCATGAAGCCAAATTTGGGGAAAAAATAAAATGTGAAGGAATCCTTTTGGAACAGCCCAATTTCTTCAAAACAGGTTTCGTTTCTATATAATCAATTAAAAATTATTTTGATCTTTTGAGGTTTTCAGCTTTACAGATGACCAAATTCTCAGACTAGAGATGGAAACGGGGCAGATCTGGATCTGTTATACATATGATACTGGCCGCCCCGCCCCATTGACTAAATTGTTTGCCGCCACTCGAAATCGGATCGAGGCTTCTGTTCCCATTTCAGAATTCATATTCAGTGGATTCAAACTCGAGAATGGAAATTAAATTAAGAAGAAGAGAGAACCGACCTGGAGAATGGGTGCAATTTGTTAATCAAAGAGCTTCACCGATCTTCTTCGTCTCAGTCGGATCGTCCTCTTCGCCGTCAGATTATCTTCGTTGAGTCGCCGGCATCGTGGCGCGCCAGCTGTATGTGACTTAAGCTGGGATGGGCGAGTTTTTTTCTGGAGTTTAGATAGGCGTCGTGTAGCCATTAGCCCATTAGCCAAGATATTTAGAAAATTTAATTTGATTAGAATAAGTTCAGATCCAATACAATTTTATTTGATTATATTTATATTTAAATATTTTCTTTAACCAAAAATGCATTCTTGTATTCACCACAAAGACAATACATTATCATTAATAATAAGAAATCTTCAAACTATATAGTTTTTCTATTCTTATATAAACGTAATACATTGAAATTTAATAGTATTAAGTTATTAACTATCTCTTTCAACTTCGACTACTTTGTTGTGTCTTTTTCCAGTTCATTGCTCTCCAAATATAATAGCATGTGATAACCCATCCAACCAACACTTTTTGGCGTTTCCTTCTTAGAGATATCTTCTTAATGCACTACTCTGTACTAATCATATCATCTCCCTTAATACTTATCTTCATCCAGATAAAGATATTCAATACTTATTGCACAAAATCCCATTTGCAGAAGAGGTAGGTAGTATCCTCCTCCCCCTTTTGACAAGGATAACAATCTGTCTCCACTTTTATAAGTTTCGCCAGTCGTACCTTAGTATTTAGTCTATCTCGCATGATTAATCACATTAAAAATTGACATTTAGGCATTGTAAGTCTATTCCAAATCCAGTCAATCCAACAAGGTTTATGATAGGTACCTATCATCCATTCATATCACTGCGGTACAGTATAGCAATGAACTCTAAATATGCTTACAAATAAGTTTCTTACCTTGATCATCTGTTTCTAATAATGGCAGTCGTTGGGTTTGGGGATGTACCCCCAAAAATCACAATTCTTGATGTATCTTGAGTGAATCCATTGAACCAAAGAATATCTTTTTATAATGGATATCCAGTTCAATTTCATGATTGTAGCTTTGTTCCATTTAATCATATTTCTCAGTCTTAACCCACCAAACTTCTTTGGCATACAAATATCTTCTCAGCTTACCAGAGGGGTCTTTTTATATTCCGTTGTTGAACTCTAAAGGAAATTTCTGTAAATAACTTGTACTTTCTTCATCATTCTGTTAGAATAAGTGCCCTTCACTAGAGGGGGGGGGGTGAATAGTGAGGCACGAGAATGTTTATAAATTTTCGCGGAATAAAAATCGCAGGGATAAAGTAAAGAGCGGAATAAAAAGGAGTAAAGGGAGCACACCAAGATTTATACTGGTTCACCACAACGTGTGGCTAGTCCAGTCTCCCGAGAGACTCTCTCGAGCTACACTACTTCCGTTAAGCTTACGAGTGCTTAACAAACCGTTACAACCTGAGAACTCGAGTCCCACGAGCCTCAATACACTAGCTTGGAGATACCGCACTCCAAGACTTCAACCCGAAGGAAAATACCTTTCCTTCGTACAACCAAGGGAAACAAGCTTCCCTAAACGTGTTTACAACACTAAGAACACTCAAGAACAAGACTCTCTTTAAGAGTAGATGTTGAGTAAACTATATACGCTCAAGAACAACTCAAACTTCACAAATTGGCTCAAGAAAGCTATGGAAAATGATGTTGTTTGAATGCAATGATAATATGAATAATGTGAAGTGATTTTTTGTGTAAAGCAGACCCAAACACCCCTTTTTATAGTGCCAAAAAAGGCTCCAACGGACCAATGCATTAAAGGGGTGATTAGCTTGATTAATGGGATTGAAAAGATTTGGGATCTGCAGAATATTGGCTTCCCATCGATGTTTATGACTTACCCATCGCTGGTAAGCCAATTTTCCTTCAGTTTTGAAGCCAACAGTTACCTACCCATCGATGGGTAAATGCTTCCCATCGCTGGGTGGGAGGTTGACTTTCAAATAAGGAAAGAATCAGCCTTAAATGACTCCCAACGGTCATGCCTTCCCATCGATGGTTAAGCCTTTCCATCGCTGGGTTCCCATCGATGGGTAAAGCTTCCCATCGCTGGGTAAGGGCATTCTGCCTTGTGGTAATGTTGCACCAAAGCTTTAACATCGATGGGTAGAACTTCCCATCGCTGTTTGGCATGGTTCTGGAAATTGGTTTGGCTAAGGGACTGCTTACCCATCGATGGGAAGATCTTCCCATCGCTGGGTGACATGATTCTGGAATCCCGGGATCACTTACCCATGCATGGGTGAAATCTACCATCGCTGGGTAGATGGCTAGCCCAGAACCATGACCTAGCTGACCGGCGCTGAAACCCGACCGAAAAATGCAAAGTTCTCCAAAGTAAAAACTAAGTATATAAAACACTTATTTAATGTATTTTGATGTCAAAACAAGCTTTGTAAGTTGAAAACCACGTCGTTAAGGTAAAAACCACGGTTGACCAAGTCAACACCGTACACTGGTGGTTTTCGCCAAAAGACAAAACCGAAAGGTGGTTTTCATGATGTTTTGATTGGAGAACCATTTAAATGCATTCAAAAACAATTCCCATACAAAAAGACTTGAAAACCATTTCGTTTAAGTAAAAACCACAGCTAGCCAAGTAAAAACCACAGCTAGCCAAGTGAAAACCACGTCGTCAAGTAAACATGTTTGAAAAACATTTTTATGATGTGTGAAATGCAATGAAAAGAATTTTAGCCTAAAGAGCCAAGGTGTAAAGGTTGGGTCGGTCTTGATCACAATTATGACCGACTCAACAACACTAAGACTACGGTCTTCGTTCTTGGTCTTCTTTTGGGTCTTGTTCTCTTGCTTTCTTCTTATATTTATTTCTCGCCTTGTATATTCAATAACTTGTCTCGTTCACGGCGGTTTGGCATTATCAAAACCTGTCACAAAAACGAACACGGCTTTAGTACGAAAACACGATAAACCCGTGTTTCAACACATTCTTGTAGGAAGCAAGAAAATCCTAGCCCAGAAAGTTAAGATCCCCATCAAAATTTCATAAATCAATCTGACTCTCCCAATATAAGTGAGATGCTTTGAGCTCCTGGATGTAATCCTAGTTGTGAGTTTCTCAACTAGCTTGTCATAGTCATGTGCACACAGCCTTGCCGATGAAATAGGGCTCCCTAGGTAAGTAAAAGGCAGGTTGCCTAGCGGTCCTCACCTTCGCTTGCCTAAGGGAGAAATAGCAGTCAGTCTACAAAGGGAAAGGGTGGTATAGGATGGAGAATCAGTCTCTCTGCCTTCGCCTCTTTTCTTTGGCACTTAGAATCTTTGCTCACACGCAGCTTACCTTAGAGGCCCCCCGACTTCTTCTTAGAGCTATTCCACTATACTAAAAGAAGACGATGACTCTACGAGGTACGACCAACGGGAGTCTCTCTCCCTATAGGTGGTAGGGTAGGGTGGGTGGTACGACCGAAACGATCTTTTCAGATTGCGGCCAATCTTCCTAACCGCGCGCGGGCCGGGCTTAGAGCGCGTGAAACTCATCACTACCTCGTAAGGGCGTTGAGACCATAGCATCCTCTAAAATATTTTTTTATCAAAATGTCTCTCGAAATGGTACTCGATAATTGAGAATAATGCTCAGTTAAGTCCTCCCGACTAACGATCATTAAAACGACGTTAAAAAGACGTTAAACCTTATACTACTTTCCAAAAATGGTACTTTCAAACTGGAAGTTTTCTCAAATTGGTCCATTTTCGAAGTAAAATTACATTAATTATGAAAAAATATTTTAAATGTTATAAGATGATAATATAATACTAAAAACTATAAATATAATTTAATAAATATGAAAGAAACATTTTAGATTATTTACAATTATTTAAAAGAATAGCATGTAAACAACATATTTAGTAAATGTTGAAGAAAACACTCTAAATAGGAGTAAAACATAGAGAAAGAGATCCTATTTTGGTACTTCTTTCATGTTTTACTCTTATTTAGGTGATTTCTTTAACGATTTTTTAACATTTTATTTACATGCTATTCTTTTAAGTAATTATAAATAATTGAGAACATTTACTTTTAAATTTATAAAATCGTATTTATAGTTTTAAGTATTATATTGTCATCCAATAGAATTTAAAATATTTTTCTACAATTAATGTATTTTTATTTCGAAAAATGGATCAATTTGGAAAAACACCGAGTTAGAAAATATTATTTTAAGAAAATAGTATAAAGTTTAACGTTGTTTTAACGTCGTTTTAACGACCATTAGTTAAGAAACTAAATTGAACATTTTTTTCAATCAACGAGTCTCATTTTGGGTAGTATTAGGAATTCAAAAAAAATATATTAAGAAGGGTGTGTACAATTTGGGTAGTATTAGGAATTCATTTTTTTTATGGGATCCAATATGGTCAGTTGGTGATGCTCAGTAAGCTCTGATTCTCATCGGATCCTTCGTCAATTATTGTGCTAAATCTGCGAAAGCATGGCCCCTCTTTCCTCTACCAGTCCGTGATCCAATTGAGTTCCTTTTCCTCTGTGTAGGAAAACCCTAATTCATTCCTGTTATAACTTAGAAGCTAAAGGAGCTATGGAGCCTTATGTTGGTTAGAATCAAATCCATCAAACTTGTTGAATAATATCCTTATTTGTATGCATTCAATTTTTTGCTATTTGGAATTGTAAGTTAATTCTCAAAGATTGTTTCTTTTTACACTTTAGGCTTGTGAAACCCTACTTTTGAGATTATAAAAACTATTATTTTCTGCAGGTGGACTTCTGAAGTGTTGTGTTTGGGACTTCGGATTAGGGTTGTTATAACTTATTCCCAATATTGAGCTGAACTGGTGTTATATGTGATGGGTGAAAATGTGTTGGATAATATATTAATGGACCTTGATTTGAACCAAGAACCTCCGGACCCGCCTCCCGATTCAGTCTTAGGATTCAGATCTATCTTAAACACTTTGGAGAGTGCCCACAGTCGGATAGAGGAGAGAATCCGACATCTTGAATCCGTGACGGCCCGAGCTTGGGAACGCCATAGGTTGCGCCGCACTCAAAACTTTTCAGATACTTTTGATGGGCGAATTGGTAATTCTGCTGAGGGTAGTGGTGGTGTTGTGGGTGTGAGTTCTGGTGGTGGGAGAGGACACAAAAGGGACAACAGCCATTTGGTGGCAAAGGCATTGGCTATGGATTCTAATGTGAAGAAGGGTCACAAGGATGGTGCAACCTTTTTTGATTGTAATGTATGCTTAACCACGGCGCGGGAGCCTGTTTTGACTTGTTGTGGTCATTTGTACTGTTGGTCGTGCTTTTTTCAGTTGCCATATGTTGATTCTATGGTCAAGGAGTGTCCCGTTTGCATGGGAGATGTTGCAGATGGTAAGATCATTCCTATCTATTGTAATGGCATCAGTAACTGTGGAACAAAGCTAGAGTCTGGTCCAAAGATACCACCAAGACCGAAAGCGCATCGAGTAGAAAGTGTTAGACAGCAACATCTGACAAGGGGCTTATCTCATATTCCAGTGGCGGAAGCACTAAGGCGAATCAGGGCCAGTATTGGAATGCTGGAGCCACTAAATCCGCTAGAGCAAATTGGCATTAATGTGGATGTTGCTACTACACCTTCTCAGCCTCAGGGGCTCCCAAATGGAGGTGACAGCCGCCGTGTACGTTCCCATGAGTTCTCAAGGGTATTATCGGAAAGTGCTGCTTCTCTGTCTTCAGAACTAGATAACGCGCAGCGCATATTTGAGGACCTTGCTGCATCAATTTCTGACCGCTTATCACAAAGAGACGGTGCTCAAGATTCGTCGACAGCTGGCGACTCTTTTGTAAGAGAAAATAACGGTGCACGACTGGAGCACCAAATTCTGGAAACCCCAACTGAGATAAGTTCTTCTGCATCTATTCCTTCCTCATCTCGTGGAAATGAAGATTCCGATGCTGTTGTACAATTGGTAAACCTGATACCCACCACAAGTGGTGAAAGGGATCAGCCCTTTACTCGTTCTTCTTCATCTTCCAGTATAAGGTTTTCTTTGTTCAGATTTTCAGATGTCAATAATGATGGTTCTGACCGTGAAACTAGGAGAAGATTGAACTGACGACTTCTAACTAATAAGGTAAAACTTTTACATTGGTCAACTAATACTTGCACAGCCATGTTAATCAGTCTCTTCGGGTATGTTTGGATAGAGTGTTTTGCTGGGAAAATCTTTTTTGTAGGGCTTATTATGTGGGTGTTTCTTTGTGCTTAACTGCTTATAAGCTGGTCAAAACTGCTTATAAGTTGTTTTTAACTTATAAGTCAGCTGATGATATCCTAGACCCTACTTTTGTGGGATTACACCGGGTAGTTGTTGTAAGTCAGCAGATGATATGTTTCTCTGTGCTTATAAGTTGATTTCAGCTTATAAGGAACTTATAAGCAAGAAAAAAGTAGGTCTTACATACTTATTTTTAAGTCACTTTTTTTAAAACTCTGTTTTGACCAGATTATTGACAAAACTATTCCTCACCATTTATGAATATTCCCAAATGACTTATCATTCATTTAAGTCATTTTACTTCCACGAAAGAATATTTAACTTATAAGCAGCTTATAAGTTAAAAATTGCTTATCAGCAATAAGTCAATAAGCACCAACACAGAGAAACATCCCCTATTTATGTTAAAAAATGCAGTGTTTCGCAAAATGAATAAATGGTGTTTGAAATATTACTTTATTACGGAGTACATATTTTGTTACTAGTTCTATAAACTTTCTTGTAACATATCAAATATTTATCGGATTTGAAGAAATTTGTTGATTTGCTCACATTTGCACTGTATATGTGAACACATGCAGCACCAGCAGCAGCCCTATTTAGTGATTGGTCACTATGGTGGAATTTGTGATCCATGGGTTCTTCAAAAAGTGTTAACCATGCAAAGTGCAAGTCGGTTGTAACCTGTAAGCTCGTAAAGAGGTTATATTTTTTCTGTCATTGAGCATGTTTACAGGCTGAAATATAGTGTTGATGAATGTTACGAATGTTACGAAAGTTTTCAAGGGTACCATGACTTTCCTTGTATCACCAAAAAATTAAGATGCAGCTCACCCATAAGCATTTTTATTTCAATTTATTCGTTCTCATCAATTTCATGGATTTAAAAGTCACGCATCTTGGCTAGAGTCTTCTACTCCATTTTGCGTGGTTTTAATGGGAAAGTCACCCGAGTTGAGAGATCCATGGGTGTGATATTGATCGGATATTACTTGTTCGGGAAGAAATATCTGGAGTTAGTCAAATCGATAAAATCCATTTTTTCACAAAATGGTGTTTGCTGTTAATGTTTTTTCGAGGGTGCTTTCCAGTTGTCTTCATCTGATAGCCTTGGACAGTTGGACATGGAAAGTCTGAAAATTGTGATAATTTTTTTTCCTGCAATGTTGGTTTTGTTGGCTTAAATAAAGTTTCATTCTTGCTATCAAGAATCAATATATGATACTCTTCACCAAAGTATGGACAATGCCTTTTCAAAAAAATTGGGAACTTTCTGCAAATTTAAATTTCAGAAGGCTTAGATTAAACTTCCAAATAAAGGGAGGGAGGGAAAGTCCTCTTTGCTTATTCTTATCTCAAGTACCAATGTTATGTGAATAATCAGTTAAGAGGGTAAACTACATAATTTCAAATAGCAATAGCAAGACTAAAGGTGAAGAGGATCACATTGGCATTCTTGATAGCGAGAGTATAATTTCGTTAAGCCAAGAAAACCAGAATTCCATTAAAAAATCTATCACGGTTTTCAGACTTATCGTCTCCAAGACCATCAAGTGAAATCAACTAACCCCTCCCCACAAAAAAAATAAACATTAAGAGCTTATCTCATTTGGGAACTCAAAAGTTTTTGTTGAACATGTGAATATACTCCATTTATGTTTTCTGTTTGAAAATAAAAAAACTACTAGTGCTTAATAAATTTGATTTAACTCCAGATACTCTCGCAAACAAGTAATTTTCGATCAATATCGTCCATGGATCCCTCAACTTGAGTAGCTCTCTCATAGCACTTGGGCAAAGTGAAGCCGCACAGCTTTGCGCCGTTGATCAAACAACCCTATCCACGTGTCTATTTGAGTACTTTCGGAACTACCAGCAACACATACAATGCATGACACTTCAACAACGTAACCAAAGGTATGTACTGCCCTTACCCACGCGTGCTCGTCCCCATGCCCCTCAATTAGGTAAATGAAAAATAAATAATTTAGACACTGTGTTCGACATGCCACATAACGTGTCATTGATGTGTCGAACACTTTCAAACTCAAATCGAATAAATGAAATCACTCGTTTATCTTAAAATTGTGCACGTATTGTGTTTGTGTCCTCAGTGTTGACACACTTGCGGTCGTTAGGATTCTCATTTTTTGCCACCTTAGGAGAATTGGGATGGAATCAAATGATATTTTACATGCATTTCATTTTAACGGGTTTCAAATACACTTTATTAATCGTAGTTCCATTTTTCATTGTAATATATTTTGAATATATAAATTAATAAATTTGTAAATTCTCCCTCCATCGGATATCTTTCTTCTCTTTTTGTCTTTTGTGATCAACGTTGTTAAACTGTAACCATAAATTACGATAACAATACATTGTATTAATTGTGATATAAATTTAATATAAATTTAATATAAATTTAATATAAATTTAATATCAATAGATTCATTCTAAAATGTAGTTTTGAAATATCGTATTTTTATAATCTATTGCATTGATATAAATTTAATATAAATTTAATATAAATTTAATATAAATTTAATATCAATAGATTCATTCTAAAATGTAGTTTTGAAATATCGTATTTTTATAATCTATTGCATTGTAGACCATGAAAAGTAAAGAAAGATATGAGATAGAGGGAGTATTTATCTTGTAATATTGTTTTCATACTTTAGATTATAAACCAAATGTACTCTCTCCGTCCCATAATTCTGGTCACACTATGGAACATGGAGATTTTTTTTAATAAAAAAGAAATAGGTCAATTAGAAAAACAAAACATCTATTTTTTATGGATCCCATTACATTGGGGCACCAATGAGGTCATCACCACTAGTTGTGAAATCCAATAAATAAATAATAAATGTAAATATTTACTCTGTCTATTCCTATTTAACTGTATGGTTCACTTTTCGAACCTAATGTTTGACCTAAAATATATCTTAAAATATATTAACATAAAATAATTAAAAAAAATTTATACCAATATTTTGATATAATTTTTATATTTTTATGGAGTATATTGTTAGTCAAATGTTTGGTACATAAAACAAATCAGACAGTTAAGGAGGAATGAAGGGAGTAGTAAATATGTGGAGAGATGTATCGGACTCCTCGGGTGGTACGATGCAAACAAAAAACTTTTATTAATATCTCAGAGAGCTTACACAGTACAAGAATATGCATTAATTTCAATTCAAAACTGCGTTTATTCTATTGTAGTCCATGTAACATTCTTCTATTAAGCTAAGAGTGGGTTTTCTAAAGGCTTCAAATGGGAGGTCTGTAGTTTCATGGTGAATGAAACTATAGCTCCCAGAAGTGCGGCTATTCCCGGGATGAACCCCAACGAAAATCGGGTCACAGAGAAACAAGCATGTGTTGGATCACATGGTACTAGATCTGCATCTGCATAAATGCAAGTTTTTAAGAACCAGATTAAAAAATTGAAGTTAAATTGATCCAATGTGCCTCTAATCTTTTTGTTTTCCTTCACACAAACACGCACAACAGGCACTTGAGTGCCTGAGTTCGTGTCTGTGTAAATGAAAAAAATGGGGAGGACAAGCATACGTGGGACAATGTAGTTCAACTCTAAATGTAGAATTATGAGGTTTTTACCCAAAATCAATTCACAATGACAGGAGTAATTGATATTCTTATGCACAGTATTAGTCTTTTTTTAGTTTGGATGTTTGATGTGAGACTATGAGCTTGTTCTCTTCAACTTATTACTTAATTATTATTCTTATCGGAACCATACCAAATCAGGTCAGAAACAACTTTGAATATAATTCCAACCAGATCAGAACTTATTCCAATTAGATCAGGTCAAGAGAACAAGCCCTATATCCTCTACATTTCCCTTCAAGTGCAACTTGTGTTTTTTGGTCTCACATTGTCACTAGACTTGGATTTCATGTTTGAGCTCCCAAGTCTTGATATTTAAACCCAAAACCAATCGACAATAAGAGGAATAACTTATACCCCGTATTCTAATACTTTGTATACTTTAGTCCTTTTAAATATATATAAGAGCATGAAGCTTGAGAAACTAACCCTCGAATGATTCAAGAAAGTAGAGTGCCACGCCACATAGTACTTTGTCAACAAAGCCCATAGATCCATAGACGAAAGCCGAACCGTCTAGATGTTTGTCCACTAGAGCACTCTCCATGCCTGTCGAAGTCACCTGTTTGTATTCATGAGAAACTTGTAAAATGTAATGCCAGTAGTTTTTTGTTGTGAAAAAATTGCAAATTGGTTATTTAAAATTTCTTTTATTAGGTTTAGGGTTTACCATCATCAAGGAATTGGCAATGCCTATTAGTATTGATAGGGCATACATAAAATGGTTCATGTTCATGGGTAGCCACATCACAATTGCACCACATAATAACCAGAGCAAGCCACCACAGGAGAACAAGGTTTTCAACCTTTTGTTGCTCCACTCAAGTTCCTACACACAAAGAAAAACAACCTAAGTTCTGTTTATCCAAATGTATATCTTCATGTTTGACTTTTTCTTTGGGTCAAGATTTATAAACTTGGAATATTAAGTTATGGTATAAACCTAATATCAATAGATTCAGGGCTTGTTTGGGAATAACATTAGAGATAAGCGTTAGCGTTTTGGATAAAAATTTATCGGTGCAGATTACTTTGAAAACGCTAACGCTAAATGATACTCGTAGATAGTCTTTTCAAAACGCTAACGCTAATCTCTAACGCTATTCCGAAACAGGCCCTCAGATTGAAATCTAACTTAAAAATATCATATTTTTGTAAGATACTTCATCTCTCCCAAAATAAAAGTCACAGTTGATAAGATAATAAATTTGGTTTGCCCATGACAACCCTAAGGATTGTCGATAAGGTGCATTTATTACATCTTTATTCTCTCGTCTTTTTGGCAAAAAAAGCACATTTATCAGTGCAAAAAATACACTTTTTAGCACGAAAAAAGAGAGAATGAAGGATAAATGCACCTTCTATCATCCGTCTCTAGGGTGGTCATTGGCAAAATCAAAAATAAAATGTGTAGCTCATTTAATTTAATTTGTTCAATCATCCCCAAGTGTAAAATCAAATAACAATGACATGAATTCTGATTTCATATATACCAAACCTGTAAAAGGACAGAGGTAGTGAAGCTGCATAAATAAATGATTGCAGGAACCTGTCAATATTATGGATGGATTATTATTGTATGTAGTTAATCAATGGGGCATCCATTAAATTAAACAATATGGAAAGATTAAATTCCCATTAATTGTTCTCTATAATTGAAAATATTTCACATTTAATCCACTGCTTTATAAAATTTTATTGGAGGTCCACTATAATTGTAGAAATCATCCTAAATAGGACTAAAACATAGAGAAAAGTACCAAAATAGGATTTTCATGTTTTTTTCCCCAGAATAGGACTTTGCACTGTGGTAATGTGACTTTGCATTGTGGTAATGAGGCAGTGTACATGTGCAAATTACTATACTTTTTTGGTAATGTATATGACGATGTTTGGTAATGTAAGTCCTATTTCGGGAATAAAAACATGGAAGTCCTATTTTGGTATATTTTCAATGTTTTATTCCTACTTTGGTCTTTCTCCCCTATAATTGTGAGAAATGTCATCAAATTCAGTCTTTTTTTCATCTAAGATCTCCAAAATGATACACTAATGAAGGACTAAAAGTAGCAATGTTTCCAAAATTCGAAGGACCTTAGTTGGTATTTTTAAAGACATATAGAAGACCAACGATGAAAAATATTCGCGATTAATGTGGATCTCCAATGAAATTTCATAAAATAATGGACTAAATGTGAAATATTATTCATTATAAAGGACAATTTACATATTTTTTTTAAAGAAAAAAATAGAAATAAAAGAGACATATATTGTGAATACCAGTGACTTTGAGGATTCGTTCATGCGTAGATCATTGATCACATACACAGCAAGAAATGACTAAAAAAAGAAGAAAAAAATCATCAGTTTCGTGAATTAAAAAAGAAATATCTGCACAATTACGAAACAAATACATTTCCTATTTTTGCGGGATTTTACTGCGTTTTTTAATTATTGTATATGCGCATGATAAAACGATACGGAGTATATACAAACCTGGGATACATTGGTTACAACTCGAGTGAGTACATAAACACTAGCAACTTGATAATACGAAACTTTCTTCAACCAATAAGTCCACGAAGTGTTACTGCGAATTTTTGCGCAACCGTCCTTCCTTTTACTGAAAATTGAAAAAAAAAATTACTTAAAAATCTTCAAGAACACTAAATGTGTTCCCTTTTACTGAAAATTTTAGAGTCTATTTTAGTATTTAACAGTGGAAAACTTTGTACAAACTCCTCCAAGTCTATCCCCTTGGGGCTATATGTTTTTTTTTTGAACAATTTTGATTGTGTGTGACAAACCTGGGCTCTTTGATCCCAAGGTGAAAGATGATCACAAAGACACCCCCAATGAGAACCGATACGAATGCCATCCATCGGTACTGCACATAAGTGTTTTAAAACATTATTGCCTGCCAGAACAGGAAAACCCTAACCCTAGCGGTTCAAGAAAAGCGAAGAGGGAAAGAACCGTAAAGGACGCCCGAAGTATCTACACACCTGAACTTTAGTGTCTTGTGCCCCTGGAGATGCGGTAGAGTCACTGAAGATGAAGAATGTGACTGCATACAATATCAGGCTTGCAACCTTATATCAATGACAAAAAGCGAAATCATAGCAAACAAGAAAATGTTATCTGCAAATCGCAACGTTTGAAAGATACAAAATCAAATGTCGAAGTGAATTTGGAACCATTGTAAATGCATTGCGACAGCTAACGCACGCGATCCTGCTCGACTCATTCAGACTGATGCAGTTTACCATCGACCTGCGACATTTATAAATTGTCACGAAATAACATAAAATAACCATGCATTATTATGATTTACTTTACTTCACATATTTGGTTATTCTGTAGTATTCCTAGTTACGCTAGGAATATAATCATGGCAGAAGTAGAACTTTACTTTTTCCGATCCATATTCCCTCTTCTTATATAAAGAAGCGATATATATATAGTCTTTGTATTCATCAGAACAATTCAATATACAAAATATTTTCTTCTATTACTATTATTTTATCATAAATCTTGTTAGAAATGTGTTTTTTTTTGCAAGAGAAATTGAAGTGAGGGAAAGGGGATTATTAGTTATTAATTAATTACATGTGGGAAATCTGAGTACAAGACCAGCCACAGCAGAAGAGAACAGCAAAGAAGCAGTAACCAAGTGTTTGTGCTGTGGTGGAATCTGAGGCCATGATTCTGCAGGGGACACAAGCCCCGCCGAAGAGCAAAGTGAACGAGAGAGCGACCATAACGCACCCCACCCCATGCCATATCTTGAAACGCCCGAACCTATCTATCTGTCGTGCAAAAAAAATAAAATAAAAAACCACTTCATTTCATTTCGTTCACGAAATATCGATTCATTCTGAATTTCCAAAAACAGATGCGTGAGGACTTGGTTCAAAACGGACAATATGTACCAGTTCACCAACAATCATGGTTGTGAATGCATCGGCGAATTGACCGGTGAGCGTGACAGTGGCTGCACTACTGCAGAATATATATATATATATATATATATATATATATATATATATATATATATATATATATATATATATATATATATATATATATATATATATATATATATATATATATATATATATATATGGTAACAACATTTTAAAAGCATTATTCATTGAAATAATCAAAGAGAAATGTGGGATTAAGATATGGTATATGAATAATATATATGTGTAGATATATACCTTGGGGGCAATCCAATGTCAGTCAAATAGAGCAAGAGATATGTATACCAGCAAGACTGTGTGATGTCATTGAGCATGTGGCCTACTCCATATGCCAACACTGAACATCTTCTTAGTGGTTTTTCCTCCATCCCCTCCTCCTCCTCCCAATCACCCCCCCTCATTTTTACTACTAGCTGCTTTTAAGAAAGAGAGAATGAAAAAAAGTACTCGTAACGCTTTTAAAAAACGGCGAATCCCATATTTATGTACATCATTTTTTGACATCATAGTGTTTACATACACGCACAAGTAAAAATTGTCTGTGCAAAAACTGTCTTTGCGTGTTTGTAAGGCATTATGACGTTGAATATGAAATTCTATCAGTAGGTTCTTTTTTTGACTTGTGAGAGAGTACTAATATATACAGCTTGTGAGTTCTAACAAGTGTCACTTTCTGTCCCTGAAACGTCCCCGTTTTGGTACCTTGGAATGCCCCGACACCCGTTCATAGTAAAATTCAAAAACAATATATGATATTTTCCCATTTTGGACACCATCCCCATGTACCCGTCCCGTCTTCGTACAAACAAATCAAATCCAGCTTAGGTCCCTTCCGATAGGCCGGGAGGGATACACACTATATAGTAAAGTAAGAATGTACTTAGACGCGGGAAGTCCAAACAAATCAAATCCAGTGCGAGTAACACGAGCCGAGGAAGGTGCCCCCATAGGTTGGGACTAGGGCCTAACACAGCCCAAAAGGGGGGCCTCTAAGGCCACAAAAGGACCCTCGGTCCCACTCATCGGGCCCGCCCACTAGACCCCTGGGCATTGCATTGGGCTTGTATCATTTGTCCAAGGTACCCATCAAACTCATTTGGATAATGTCACCATTGGTAATTCTCTCAATAATACTATTCTTAACTCAACATTTTTGTTTATAGGTCCAATAAAGATTTTATTTCTAACACGTCTTCTCACGAAAAAGCGAGATTTTTGTTCGCTCTAGCCTTGCACGTAAATATTACTTTTTTAAATCTACGTGGTGGTAAGGTTCAAAGAAAGCATATGTTGAAAACTAAAAGTGGATGATTAAAATTTGTTTGGAACAAAGAAAAGAATTGTGGACTACATATTCTTTTAACTTTCTAGAAAAATAAAAGAATTGTGTATATATTTTGGAGTACCTATACCCTACATCCAAATATACGATGTTTCCAGTACATCCGTATGAATACTCATTATTGAGTTACTGAACACCCATTTTCAAATAACTATGTACTCATTTTCTAGCATAATCAATTTTTAGAAAAAAAAAAGAGCATAAAGTTGCTCGAACACGATTATTTAGTTAAACGTAAATATATACTCAACGTAAATGAGTATATATTCTGGGATATCCCGAAAAAAGAAAGTGCAGTGGTGTGTCTGTGTTGGAGAAAAAACATCACGAAAAAACAAAAGAAGAAAAAACGTACCGGGAGAAACGAATTAAACACGCAAATGGCAGTTAAAAACGTAACAGCTTAATCAATTTCTTCTCACCATTACCTTTTTTCTCTCATTCCTTCAATTCATTTTCGAATTCAAACGATAGATCGATCAACCATTTGGTAGTATATGCACTTATAAATTAACCAATTTGCCTTGGGAAATGCAGGCTTGGGGCCTAATAATATTACTACCATTATTACGTATGGGCAATGTCAGCTATTTACAATTTCTTTCACAAATGGGATAACCTTATTCCATGCATTTTTTCATGGGTGGCCCGGGGCCTCTTAAAATTTAGGGCACTATATTTTTAAATTTGTTAATAATTTTAAAGCAATAGTATTCTAAAAATATAAAATATGGCACAAAATGTAAATTTTGGACCGGGCCAATTTTATTTTTTCATTTTTTAGAGCCGGCCCTGCATTTTTTTAATTAAAAAAAAACCAAGGTTCAGTAGCCACTACCTTACGAAGCCACTGGCGGTGTTATTCCCTTTTTGGAGCAACTACGATGCTTTGTTTACAAAATTAATGGTTTCTAGCCCTTAAAACCCACGTCCTGCCCCCTCCAAATGTGTGATCATTAGCCATTTCCCTTATGAACACACATTTGGAAGGGCAGGAGGCTCGGGATGCAGGAGTGAGGCTGGGGGCACCCAAAAGGCAATGACACCGCTAGTGGCTCTGTAAGACGGAACCAGACTTTTTTTTAATGTGGACTGATTCAAAATTGAGTGTAGTTTTCAATTAAAAAGACAACTTAAACAAAAAATGTTTTTTTTTACAGAAATAATCATATAAACTCAACATGTGAATGAAAAATTACAAATGTGTTTTTTAAAAAAAATAAATAGGGACAACTCAAACATGGAGAGGAAATTAGACTGAGAGGGTAATTGATTAATACAAAGGGTGACTGTTTCAACTTGAAGAAACAGGACCACCCCATTTTTTTGTCTCCTACAACAATTGCCTCTTGGGAGACACATTGACACACATTTACAAAGAAAGAAAGGTGAAACTTTCCACCATTTTAGCCATAAAGATGATGAATCACATCATCTTCTCTAACCTACCCTACCCCTAAAAGGATGGTTTTTTCAGGGGCAAAACCAAAGACAACCTCCCATGTTTTTGTTCTTCTCTTTTGGCACACCAGAAATGTACCTAGAATTTGCCGTACCGGTTAAGGACAATTGTCGTTCCTACCCGGGCCACCATAGAAGAAGTAACGCCCCCAGTCGTCATTTTTCCCAAGCTCCACATTGTAGCAGTTGTCGTCTTCAGTGAACACTCCGAGGTCCTGAGGGGCTCTCAGGTTATTCGACCCGTCCACGACCTGTATGTTCCTGAAATAACTGGCCTTCCGGAACCCTTCGCCGGGGAAGTGGCCACTCCCCATTTGGGTGGTGGTGTGCATCCCGTCCGACTCCGAGTTCACCACCTCCCCTCCCCACTCCACCATTGAAGCACTGTCTTGTAGGTTGGAGAACAGATATGCCGGCCAGTAGCCGAGAATATAGTTGTTGCCAAATTGCATCCACCAGTGACCCAATTTCGGGTCCTGTAAAATGAAACTGTTAGGCCTCGTTTGGTACACGGAATTCAAACTATGGAATTAGAATTGAGGACTTAATTCTAATTCTCATGTTTGGTAGCACAAAAATTATGTGGATTTGGAATTGGTAGTGCAAAAAATAAATTGGAATTGGTGAATTCAATTCTATGGAATTGAATTCCATAGAACTTTAATTCCTATTCAATTCCAATTCCATCAATTCCGTGTACCAAACGGACCCTTCAAATCTGAAAACCCTCTCTTGGGCCACAACCACAAGTTTGAGTTTTTGGTTGAATTGGCTCCTTGACATAGTATTAGAGCCTTGTTGGCTACGAAGTCACGGGGTCGAAACTCAGCGCCAACTAGTTATAAAAAAGTTAGATTTCACGTGCAAGGCTCAAAAAGACTACAACTGGATGTGAGGAAGCATTTTAGAATATAAACTTTTCAAAGCATGTTAGAATATAAACTTAGGTTTCACGTCCATGACTGTATGTTCCGAGTTGTATTCATTTACAAGTTCTAAAATTTAGTTGTATTCAATTGACAAAGCTTAGTTGTATTCATTAAATATTCTTAAACTTGATATGTCAAGATGCATTGAACTTAAAGGAAAAAAAGTCTGATAGAATTTAGGATGGGTATGGACAACTGGATTGGGCTAGAAGACACTTGGGCTGAACCACATTAAAAGATTGAATCCAACCGATTAGTTAGTTCAATTCAAAAGCTTATATACTGATTAATTTCCTCACACTTTTTCGATGTGGGATGCTCTTTAACAAAGTCTTTTGAAAGTGAGAGTATTCAATTAATACCCCTATTAGGCTCCGCTCCGTTCAACTTATTTTCTCTGATCTGATCTGATTCTAATAAGTTCTGATCTGATCTGATCTGATTGGATCTGATCTGGTCTGATCTGATTGGATCTGATCTAATCTGATTGGATCTGATCTAATCTGATTAGATCTAATCTGATCTGATTAGATCTGATCTGATTGGATCTGATTTGATCTGATCTAGTCTGATCTGATTAATTATGAATTAATTTAAAATTTCAAATCAATAATTTAATTTGACTTTATAATAACATTTGAAAATTGTAATGATAATTCATATTATAATATAATCAATATTTTTTATTTAATGATTATTTTTTAATAAAATAAAAATAGTTAATTCATATATTAGAATAATCATTCATATTATAATGTAATAATATTTTTTATTTTATGATTATATTTTTGTAAAATTAGAATTATACATTAGAATAAATATTGAATTTAGATATACATTAAAAAGTAATTAAATTTAGATAATCAATATATAGAAGAGATAGTATTTTTAATAAAATATCTCATCCTTATAAAAGATCAAAAGTTTAGAAACTTAAATTACAAGTAGCAATAAAAATATATTTTAAAAGTAGAATTAGATTGACATTGTCAATGTATTTTAAAATTAATTTTTCCGACGTCTAATAATTAAGGATTACTTTCTCAATTTTCTATTTAACCTATTTCTAAAGTTTATTCTTTTTCATTTTTAAGAACAATACTAATAATAATGATGATGATGATGATGATGATGATGATAATAATAATAATAATAATAATTTTTGATGGGATCTGATTTTAATAAGTCCTGATCTGATCTGATCTAATCTGATTGGATCTGATCTGATCTGATCTGATTCAATCTGATCTGATCTGATTCGATCTGATCTGGTCTGATCTGATCTGATTTTAATAAGAATAAGAAAAAATAAGAAAAAATAAGTTGAACGGAAGGGGCCTAAGTTTTCAAAGACTATCTATACACAATTTAGAAAGTATTCAAAAAGACATTGAAATGGAAATGCTTTTACTTCTTTCATTCCTGAAATCATAGAATGAATGATCCAAATTATCTCTTCTCATAAATTTCAACCACTCAATTTTAGTTTTTCTTAGTCCCTCAAAGAGTATTTAGAAAGTTTAGTCTGAGACAAAGAGAGGGTAAATTAAAGTGAAAAGTATGAGAAAATTACCTTCCAAACAAGGATGCTGATATCATATTGAGAACCTCTGTAATTGGAAAGGGGGGAGATGGTGGCCCCCATCGCTATGTTACTATTAATTTGAATAAATCCCGAACATAGCAAGTTGTAGCACCCCGTGGCTTGGTAAGCATCACTCTATCCAATCATCAATTATTCTCCAAATTAATTGTCAATATAGTATGGCAATAATATTTTATTCTTCTTTTTCTTAAGTTATCTCCAAAAGTTCCTTTCTAAACTCACTCATTTTCTTATTTATAAATTTAAAAAAATTGTACTCATATGTTTTAAATTCATTTTGGCTCCATTTGGTACACGAAATTCAAAATATGAAATTGGAATTAGGGATAAGAATTCCAATTTATCTGTTTGGCAACACAAAAATTTATGAATTTAGAATTGGTAGCACCAAAAATGATTTGGAATTGGAGAATTTAATTCTATCTAAATCAATTCAGTAAAATTTCAATTTCCAATTCAATTCCAGTTCCGTCAATTCCGTGTACCAAACGGACCCTTATTTATTAAAAGATTAAGAAAACATGAACCATAATTTTTTTTATTAAAGGAAAGTAAGAAAAGTTTTGGGAGCTGACAAAGTCCAGCGGGGCCGAGGAGCATTTATTAGAACCACGTTGGATGTTTCTGGAATGCTAGCTGTATGAACAGATGGAAATTAAAAAAAAAACAAGAAGAAGATAGTGTTGTGTTTCACTTACGGTCCAATAGGTGAATAATCTTGTGTTGTGATCCCCATACAAATCCGGGCTAACCTATTTATTTCACAAGTTAAATATCAGTTCATAATAAGAGATTATTAAGAGGTTAACAAGTACGGTAAATAACACATGATTGAAAAGGTCAAGGATAATTAGAATAAAAATTATACCCATATAAAGTTCAACACTAGCATATGACCTTCTTGCACATGACAGTTGTACCTATGTCCTTATATTGTTTGTTTGCAAGTCACGGGCTATATATTAGTATACACTATGATTGTTGTAGACTTGTAGGTGCTTGTGAATTATTTATTCAAGATTAGAAGAATCTGAAACCCAGCTTTGGAATAGTTTCACCCGGGTAGTAAATGCTTATAAATAAAAAATTATTTTAGGATATCTTCAATTTTCTAGTAATAACTCTCAAGTCTCACATTATATAAAATTTACTCTGGAATACCATCGATATTCTAGTAAGAACTGTAAGACCCTACATTATCCGAAATAGGTCTTTAAAATAAGTGGTAATATACCTTGAGGGTACATTTAGTCTATTTAGCCGTCAGGATTAAAAATTCGTACTTTAGACAAATACTAAATTTTACCTTGACAATAATTATTTTATTAAATTTAAATAAAAAACCTACCTAGATAAGAGTAAAAAAGTATGAAAATATCAAACCAGGAGTCACAAGTCTTTTAAGACCAAAATAAGAGTATAATAATGTAAGTATTCGCATTGACAATATAATAGAAAAATGATTGACGGTGTAATATGTCAATGTGTTCAGTCAACCATTGGCGATTTAAGGTAAAGAAACTTTCAATCATAACCCTGAATGGACAGAATGTATCATTGGAGTATAATATCACAAACTTTAAAGATCTCAAAGAATATTTTGGATAATGTGAGATCTATAAATTCTTGCAAGAAAATCGATGATACCCCAAATATATTTCAAATAATGTGAGACATGTGAGTTATTATCGAAAAATTAAGGATACCCCAATAATTTTCTACTTATTAATCGTTTAAAGGTATATTTGTACCTTAATTGCACGTAAGAAATTGCCTCCTTTTACATACAAAATACTCCCTCCGTCCCCCAATTTTTGTCCACTTTTGACTTTTGGAACTGTTCATCTAAGCACTTTAACTCATCAAATTCTCTCAATGTGTAAGCCTAAATATAGTCATGTGTGATCTTGTTTGATTTGTCTTAACATATAGATTATTAATATATAATTTCTATAATTTTTTAATATACAAATTACAAGATAAAATGGATTAAAGAAGTGCATTGGATGGTGTGTAAAAATGAAAGTGGACAAATACTCTGGGACGGAGGGAGTATTTGTATAGAATATTTTTTACTTTTTATTCGCATTAGCATATACTTCACCTCTATCAAATTAAGTTGTATATGTACTATTCACATGTTCAAACTTTATTCATTTTCTTTCCCTATNAATTGCCTCCTTTTACATACAAAATACTCCCTCCGTCCCCCAATTTTTGTCCACTTTTGACTTTTGGAACTGTTCATCTAAGCACTTTAACTCATCAAATTCTCTCAATGTGTAAGCCTAAATATAGTCATGTGTGATCTTGTTTGATTTGTCTTAACATATAGATTATTAATATATAATTTCTATAATTTTTTAATATACAAATTACAAGATAAAATGGATTAAAGAAGTGCATTGGATGGTGTGTAAAAATGAAAGTGGACAAATACTCTGGGACGGAGGGAGTATTTGTATAGAATATTTTTTACTTTTTATTCGCATTAGCATATACTTCACCTCTATCAAATTAAGTTGTATATGTACTATTCACATGTTCAAACTTTATTCATTTTCTTTCCCTATTTTTGTTACTCATTTATAAAATAATATATTCATGTTACCTCTTGTCTTTAAAGCTTTTAATATAACTTTATAATATGTAAATTTTATTCTTTAATTCCACACCAACTTTCAAATAAATTGTTTTGAAAATAATTTCTGTCAAAAAATCGTAAACCGAATCAAACAATTTTAAATTGGGACGGAAGGAGTATCAAACAAAATTTTAATTGGTACCGGTCCGTACAATAAAACCCAAAAAGGTCACTATTTCTAAGGAACTTCTATATAAAAAAAGAAGAATAATAATGGATGAAAGGAGAAGAATTATTACCTGCCAACCAGCTTCGATGCTGTTGAGATCTGAATCAAAATCTCCGCCGAGAATCCAAATCTGAGACAAGCTGAACTCGTTGGGTTGCTGGATTTGAGGCTCCCACACGTTTATGGTGGCTTTTGCGCCATAGTATCCTCCTCCATTTACATAGGCTATTGCATGCTAACCACTCCAAGAAAACAAAAACCCCACAGAGATAATTAATTATTTTCACCAGAAATATAAAGAAATAATCTACCAGGAATTTGTTGGGCATTAAAGTCTCAAATTAGAAAAATAGAGAAGATAATGTTTGGCAAACAATCAGTAGAAGAGAGTATTAGCAGGTACACTTTTAAAAACATGTTAGGTAACTTCGTAAATGCTAAAAAATAAAACTTACACAATCTTTGGTTCAAAGAAAAGGAAAGAAGAAAAGGAAAGGGTTCCTCAAAAAAATTGGGAGGAATTTTGTTTAATTCATTTTGAGTTCTAAGTTTTTTTTCCTTCTACTTTTCCTTTCTAACCAAACAAGAAATGTTGATTTTCATCTCATTTTTTTCTCCTTCAAATTCCTTGAACCAAACATAGTGTTAATGTTAATACAAACCCTCTTTTTCTAAATGATAATCGTAACAGTATTTTGAAAGTAGCTTTTTCATCCACATATTACTAATTCTGAGTCCTAATTTTAAGAAACGCCTCAATTAGCATTTTAGCAGCCAAAATACCGAAAAAGAACATAATGTTCACCGATACGAGTGCCAAAAAAGAGCATATTTCTCAACAAAAAGCTTACAACCAAACAAGGTCGAAGAACAAGTTTGAGTAAAAGTGTATACCTAATTCTATTAGTATGGGGCTTTTTAAGAGATGTCCGTGCGCACAAATGTGCAGGTGTGGCTTAAAGAAAACAATATACTACTAATGCGAGGTTAGGAAATGATGGTTCGGGTAGGGATAGAGGAAGCCAGAAAAAGTCTATTATTAATTACCTGGTGTCCATTCTGGGTAATCAAATCAGGATCAGCAGAGCTGGGTTTAGGGACACTTTTAAGCTTCTTTTTTCCATATCTCTTGAAAGTGCTGCTGACTCTCAAAAGGTCATCTTCTTTTGTCCTTCTAATAGGAATAGTCCCTTCTGGGCACCTCCCACTCAAATGCCAGAGCTGATGAGGAATTGGGTTGGGCTCATCATTCACATCCTTCAATGTGGAGAGCTTTTCATCCTTAAACAGCCCTTCTGGGTGGTAGCTTGGCCTCATCTACCACAAAACATGAAAAAAAACAGCCAAACCTCTTCATACAAATCCAGAAAATAAATAAAAAAAAGAATACTGCCTCCCAATGCATTCATCGATTTTGATTTTAAGAAGTCAAAACCCACAAACTATTAAAAGAACATTATCATAACTTTACTCATTTCTTATCATAGATAAAAATGGAAGCCACCATGTTCAACTAATACATTGGGACAGAGAGGGTTATGATTAAAAAAAAGCAAATGTTCGTGCTCCTTACCTGAATTGTGTGGTTCTTGAAATGAGGATGATCGAAAGCTGGCTGGTGATGTATATGAACACAATCAATGATATCACCATCTGGGCTCTGTACATATATTTTTTTGCCAAACAGAAAGAAGCAAGATGAAATTACATTAGAGTGTATGAAAGTGAAAATCATTCACAATTTTGCACTAAAACTTAAAGTGTTCTTCCCCAGTCCCAAAATGTCCTTGTTTGGGTACTCGAAAGAGCTTCTACAACAAAATACTATACCAACAACAAAAACAAAATCAGTGTACACATACCTAACCTACACCCACAAGGTGTGGTGAGGGAGTTTTGGCTTTTGGTTAAGTTGATTTGTTAAGGCTTTAGCATTCTTGATCAAGAGGTCCTCTCCGTCACTCAATTTTTAAAAAATTAAGTTTCATATACAAACTTTTTAGAATATCAAAAAGCTTTCATTGGCCAACCTTTAGTTTTTGGTTGAGTTGTTTCCATGACAACACTCAACTAACCAAATTCATTGTAAAATTTTGAACAGTTAGTGTCTCCCATTTCCTTGCAACATATAGACCACACACACATACATACATTCAATAACCATCAAAATACACAGAGAGAGAGGGGGGGAAGGGGAGAACCTCTATGGACTTGACGGCAGGTTTGTTGAGCCGATCCAGGTGCTTCCGAACCTCAAGCTTCTTCTGAGTGACCATGGCCTCTCTTCTGAGAGCACCGCAGAGGGAAATCGAGAACACCAGAAACCAGAAAGCCCTTAATCCCACCCCGCCGATGACGAAACCCATGCCCGGATCTCTCTAGCTCCTCCGAGGCTCGAGCTCAGACGGTCTCGAATTCCGCCTTCTCCGACGACTACAATAACTACTCCGGAACGAATTCGAACATGAATCGGTGGAAAATCCGAAAGGTGATCTGGCGACGCTCGTGAAGACGGGTACCAGAAGAAGAAGAAGAAGATGAGGAGGCGGGAAGTAGGGTGGGGGTGTCGGTTAGCTTTCCATCTTCTCCATTTAACAGCTGCATTTCTTTGTCTTTTAGGACGAAACACTGTGGCTGCTATGGCGTGTGTGGACCTGACCTGGCCTGGCCTGGCCTGGCCTGCTGCCACTTTGAATTTAATCCTCTCTCTTTCTTCTTCAAATCCTCTCCAAATCTTTTTTTTTTTTTTTTTTTTGCAAATCTAAGAATGTATTCCCTCTTTACTTTTTCAAGTTTTAAACTTTTAACTCTACTTTTCAAAATTCTTTCTAGATTATTTGTGGCCCTCCATTACTTTGGCATAATTTTTTAAATCACTTCTCATTTTGGAAAAAAAACCTTTTTAATCTACTCCCTCCCTTTCTAAAAACACTTCATATTTTGTTTTTACGTACAAAACCTTATCTTTCTTTAAATAACTTATTAACAAATTCGTATATAAATATAAAGTAAAAGCTACATATTTAACATCTAGATCAAAAATTATACAAAGTATGTGGTGACAAAAATATTTTATTTTATCAAATTACTAATGAAAAAACACATGCAAATAAAAGTTATCGCAATGTCTTGAACAGCACATAGGAATGTTTTCTAAAAATAGAGAGAGTAATAATTAATTAATTACTCCCTCCTTCCCAATTATTTGTCCTTTTTCTTTAATTCACAAAATCCATCTCTTTTTAAAACTATATATTTACAAATTAGTATGGAGTATGTTAGTAAAAAGTATTATCTCCTTAGTGTATTTCTCTGATTTGACTTTTTCGAGTCAAATTAGATAAATTTTAAAATTAAATTAAATAAAAACTGTAATGTATTTTAGCATAAAAATAATTCCATTAAGTTTATCTTATTGAAAACTTTTACATTTGTATTTCATTATATTATACTAATATGTTATACAAATTAAGAGTAATTAAAGCTCAAAGTTTATCCTTTTTTACTTAAAAAACTAAACTAAACAAATACATTGTGAAGGAGGTAATGTAACTTACATTTTTAAAATCAAAAGCTCTACAAAATAAATACTAACATTCCTATTGAAGTTGTGCCTTAGTGGCCAATCATTTTATGATCATATTGTCATGAACAAAGGCATATGTAATATGTTTAAACACATCTCATGCTAATGTAAACGATTATTACATTCGTAGAATTATACTTATAAGTTATGAGATAAAGTTTTTTGATATTGAGACTAACATCTTGTCACTTAGTATAATTCTAAACGGTCTATAGTTGAAGTATTAACGAGAGTGGGATATCGTTAATGTGTGTAAAAAGATCCTTAGACTTGAAGTGTTGTTACGGAATAGGGTATTGAGTAATCAAAGAACAAACAGAAAAACACAACAACAGATTTAACGTGGTTCACCAACGTTGTGTTGGCTAGTCCACGGGGAAGAGGGGGAGCAGTTTTATTTCTGAAGGAGAGGCAAAAACAGAGTACAGCTCATAGGGTTTGTGGTAGCACCCATATAAATAGTGCTTGACTAAACCCTAACATACTTGGGCCCAAAACTACAAAATTAACAGATAATTAGAAGCCCAATTAACTTCTCCGGATTCTGACTTCTCCGGATTCTGACTCCTCCGAACTCTGACTTCTCCGAAAACGGACTTCTCAGAAAACGGACTTCTCCAGATTCGGAGCTGTGATGGGTCAGATTCAAGGCATTTTAACAAATCTCCACCTTGACTTGAATTCTCCATACTAATTCTTCAGACGCACTCTTGATTGTGCCAGACCTCCCCCTCTTCCTCAGAATTGCCCCGCAGGGCTACTAACAGCTTCTGATGTTAAGCAAGTCCAAACAATGTCGGAACTTGCTATGTGGGACTGGCTTGGTGAACATGTCAGCAGGGTTATCAGCAGTGCCCACTTTCTCCACCTTGATTTTCTTCTCATTCCTCAGAAAATGATACCTCACATCAATATGTTTGGTCCTCTCATGATGGACCTGATCCTTGGCTAAACAGATAGCGCTCAAATTATCACAGAACACAATAGCTTGCTCTTGATGCAGACCAAGATCACCAACTAGCCCTTTCAACCAGATTCCCTCTTTAGCAGCTTCTGTCAGCGCCATATATTCTGCTTCAGTAGTAGAGAGAGTAACTGCAGTCTGCAAAGTTGCTTTCCAACTAACAACAGAACCACCCATAGTGAAAACGTAACCAGTCATAGATCTTCTACTGTCAACATCTCCAGCATAATCAGAATCAGAATAGCCGGTCATAGAACAGTGAGTACCACCTCCATATATGAGACCAACATCAGACGTACCTCTCAGGTAGCGGAAAATCCTCTTCACAGCCTGCCAGTGCTCCTTTCCAGGTTGTCCCATGAACCTGCTAACAACACTAACAGCATGTGCTATGTCTGGTCTAGTGCAGACCATAGCATACATCAGGCTTCCTACTGCATTGGAGTA